CCCCCCGCCCCCCCCACCTGTAGAGCGCCATGAGGTCTGCCACGTCCTCCTCCCCGGTGGCGTCCAGGCCCCCGGGCCTCAGCTCAGCCATGTGCTGGATCAGCATGCCAAACTGGGTGCCCCAGTCTCCGATGTGGTTGAGCCGCACCACGTCAGCGCCGCAGAACGCCAGCACGCGCGATATGGTGTCGCCGATGATGGTGGAGCGCAGGTGGCCCACATGCATCTCCTTGGCCACGTTGGGGCTGCTGAAGTCCACGACGACGCGCTTGTAGGGGCCCTGGGAGGGGCCGTGGGGTGGGGCCGTGGGCAGGGCGGGGCAGGTGTGCGGGTGAAGTGTGGGTTGAAGTGGGTTGGGGCCGGGCGCCTGAGCTCTCTCACCGGGGCCTCTGCCCGGGGCCGTGCAGCAGCAGCTGTCACGCAGCAGTGACTGCGAAATAGGAACCAGCCGGGCGCCATCACCCAACCCCTAGCCGGCGGTGGTCTCAGTCAGCTTGCGTTTGCACAAACATTGGGGCGCAGCTGGTATGCTCAATCCCAGGCAGCCTCGTACCGCACGTCCGTCACCGCCCCTTGCCGCGCCTGCCCCCCTCCCCTGCCCACCGGCAACGATGGCGCCCAGACGTTGGTGCCGTGCAGCAGCATGTTGTTGACACGATCTGCCAGGTAGCTGGGCGACACGCGGCAGTTGATGAAGCCAGGCCCCGCGAGGCTGGTGGCAGACAGCAAGCCGTTTGGGGGCAGCGCGGCGAGGATGCCCTCAGCGGCAGCTCGTGGGTTCTTGGGCGCGCCCTCCAGGCCCTTCATCTTGCCAAACAGCGGCATCGCATTGTTGCATTGGTAGTCGCCATTTGCGGCGTTGTTGCATGCAGCAATAAGCGGTGCCTTGTCGGGCGAGTTTGGGAATGCCGCCGCGATGGCTTCGCCGAACAGCGCCTCCAGGTCGGTGCGCACGCTAGTGCCGGTGGCGGTCGCCATGGCGCTTTGCGTGTACTCTGGCTTTATGCTGATTGGCTCAGCGGTGTGTGCCGCTGCCACGGGCGGGATCCTGACTCGGTGGCTGCTGCTAGTGATGAATCCTGAGCGCGTGCCGGCCGCCCCGCTGAATGCTACTCGATTTCCTAGCTTGTAAGGCGCGCTTCTGAACATAGATTGAATGACAGCCTCTCACGGCGTCTGAGAGCGCTCGGCAGTAAGAGGTGCGATCTGTCTGTGCAGCGGCGAGCTTCAATTCCAGTTGTCAACGCATGTTTATATCGCCGATGGCACAGTGCACTGGCGCATTGGGACGTCGGTGGCGACTGGTCACTGCAACACTGGCGCACTTGCTGGGTGCACGCCAGAGCCGCAATGCAAAGTTCTCGCTGGGACAGAAAGGTGCACATGCGAATGGTCAACATGTGAATTCATGTTGCTTTTTTGAGGGTGGTGATCGGGCTAGGCGTGCATGGGTGCACTAGATGGGCTGAGGTGTGTGGTGCTGCATCGCTAGTACGCTGCATTGACCGGTGCTTGACCGACATAACGCTGGCGTGAGAGCATGGTCGACTCACTGTACAGGCGAACGTTTACCAAGGTTCAATTGTGAGAATGCAAGCGTGGCGTGCGGAGGCTGCGTCAGTCAAAGGCACCGTGCAGGGCGGCACGTCGATTGGATGGCGGGCTGGGTGCGCCGTCTGGTCAGACAGCGTTTGCCCATTGAGTCATAGAAAGGGCACAAGTACAAAAATAGTATGGTATGTGTGACAGTTTAGATGTGCCTTGATTTGCCAATTCATGTCATGGGTCGTGGTGCGCTTGAACAAAGTCGCTTCGTGCCTGTCTAGGGCCTGCCTGACTAAGCGACAAGCATCTGCACCTCTGCAAAATTAGCTGCCCAAGTCTGATTTGCCGCAACCCACACCGAGACGAGATGAGGGCAACAAGGGCATGAAAGCAAAAACTGGGCTCGGCTGCAAGAGGGCTGTGGCAATGGCCCCGCCTTGAGCAGCACACAGCCACCAGAACACCAGCCATGCATTGCTGCCAGGGGCGGCCATGTAGGCCCACGCAGTAGACGGACCGCTACCCATCCGCCTCAACAGCGCGTGTCAAAAGCTAACATGTGCTGTGCGCACTGCGGCAGGAGCTGATGCGTCAGCACCTCGCGCCCTTCGCGCGCTCTTGGACCGACGACGGGGCCTCCTGACCATTGCGGCCGGCACACTGCCCACCCACCCAGGAAGAAGAAGGGCAGGGGGTCCTGACTCCCCAGACACACAAACAGGGGATGGCCATGCATAAAGTCCGGCGTTCACAGGGACCCCTAGCTGGGGCCAACCGTCTCGCCATACTGTACGTGTGTAATGTGTCCTGCAAAAACCGGCCACACCAACTACTAGCAGCACCTCGGTGTCAGTCTCGCAATCATGACCGCTGGTTGCCAAGCCCACAGGACTGCTGGTGACAGCTGACCTGTGTGACAGCCTCAGCCGCCGCTGCTTCTCTGCAGCCGCTGCGGCTGCTCTGGCTGCCGCCGCAGCTGCAGACCAGTGGCGGTGTCGCGGTGCTGGCAGGATCAGCTCAGCGCCATGTACCTGCAGACGTGTGGGCGTCGTGGTAGAGTTTCAGGGACAGGACACGACAGGTTGGAGCGCAATGTGTGTTGAATGATGCCGCAGATGGCCTCTCCAGACCCGCCTCAGCCTGCCGCGATGCTCAACATTGACGACAGCAATCCCACAGCTCGCTCAGCATCCCACAGGGCCCCGGCCCCTCACATCCCAGTGCCCCGGCCCCCCCGATGTACACCCCCACGACCGGCCTCACCCCTGGCCCATGGTGATTGCAGTGACCACCTTCTCGCGCAGCTCCTCATAGCTGCGATACCTCGGCAGGTCCAGCTGACGGAAGCAGGTGTGCGCTGCCGGCAGCCGCGCGGTCCTGTCGGTGCGGTCGTACATGCGGTCGACGCTGACAATGTGGAACGCCGGCTCCAGGGACGCAAAGCCCTCGACGGGCATGCCGTCAGAGCCGCTCCAGAACTGCAGCAGCTGGCGGCGCTGTACGTCGTCAAAGGACTCCACCGCGGCCCAGAACCACTGGACCTGGTCCTCCTTGCCTGTGTAGCCGTCCTCGTACTTGCAGCTGGAGCGCAGGTCACTGATGTCGATGGCCTGTTTTCAACAGGAGCACAAGGAAGATTGAGCCGGCACAAAAAGCAGGCGCCCAGCGTCATGAGGGGTGCTGGTTGGAGCAAGCAAGCTGTCCGCGCAATGTCGCCCTGGTACGGCTGCGATTTTTTTGCATTGCCGAGGGCTCGTACGGCGGCGGCGTGCCTACCCCGCTCCGGCCAGATCCAGCTGTCGCAGCCGCACCCAAAGTCAGCCTGTCCCGATCCCCGGGGGCGCACCTGCTCCCCGCAGACCAGCAGCTGCAGCTCCAGGGGCGTGAAGCCGTACTTGTCCACCAGCTCGCGCGGCACCAGGGAGTGGAAGGCGTCGATGACGGCGCTCATCTGCGTCTCCACTGCGCCCATCAGCATCTTCTGGGCCTTCAGCAGCACGTACTCGCGCTTGTTGGCGTTGGTCACGCGCACGTGGCTGCCGCCGGGCTTGAGCGGGATGCTCGCCTCCACCTTGGTGCTGCTGTCGCCGCTGAAGGGGCTCGCACCGCTGGGCAGCGCAGGCACCTCGGGCTCGTCCTTGCCGCCGCCGCCGCGCCGCGTGTGTGTGAAGCTCCAGGCGAAGGTCTCGAATATGAGGCCGTCGATGTCAAGCTCCAGGATCTGCAGCAGCGACCTGAACTCTGTGGGGTCGAGGGCCTGCAGGTCCAGCAGGCTCAGGGGGATGCCCAGCATCAGCTTCCAGAAGGGCTCGCAGAAACGCAGGTTGAGGGAGATGGGGCCCAGCTCCTTGGCGCGCGCCGCGCTCTCGAGCAGCGCCTTGGCCATGAACATGCCCACAAAGTGGAAGCGCTTGAGGTGGCTGGGGCTGGACGACAGCGGGTTGACGTAGAGCTGGTTCGTGTTGGGACCCCCCGCCCAGAAGAGGTCCAGGCTGCCGCGCGACAGGGCTGAGCAGATGCACGAGAACCACTCGCGCGTCACGCCGCCGCTGTCCATGCCGGCCTCGCCGATGAACGTCACCTTGAGCGGCTGCCGCCATACATTCTGGCCCTTGCCGCTGAACGTGTTGACGCTGTCCTTGAAGCAGCGGCTGCGGCGCACCTCAATCTGGAGGCGGGGAGGGCGGGCAGTGGTCCAAGTGTGGGGGGTGGCGTTTCAGTGGTGCTGTTGAGTTGAAGAGCGAAGCAGCCTGCCTGGCCGACCACTTAGTCAAAACCTGCTGCTGCTTTTGGCTCGGTGACACCGCCTTTGCTGGTCTTGTAATGTGCTTGCTCTGGCCGGCTACACGAGCGATGCGGCACAGCACAGGTGCGAGCGTGGCAAGAGCAGCTCGGCGGTCATGGTTCCCCTGTCAGCTGCTGACCAGGCCCCTCACCTTGTGGATCGGGCCCTCCGCTGCCAGCTTGGCTGCCTCCTCGATGAACAGCCGCCGCCGCACCTTGAAGTCCTGGCGCACCCAGCGCCGCCCCCCGCTGCCGCCGGGGATGGAGCCGGGAGCCGCCAGGGGCACCAGCAGCAGCTCCTCCACCGCCTCCCAAGACACTGCCGCAGCGCCCAGTGCAGCCAGCCGCGTTTTGAGCGCGGCCAGCGCAGGCAGCACGTCACGCTCCAGGCTCGTGCCAAAAATGCCACCATCGGCCTGGCTGCTGCCAATGCTGCCGCTGCCCTTGCTGCCCGTGCCCCCTGCCGCGCCGCCGCTGACGCTCTCCGCGCAGCGCAGCGCCATGCGTGCCATGTCCTCGCCGATAGACACCACCTCCTGCCCTGCTGCTGGCGTGCGGGGCACGAGGTTGAACAGCGTGCCCGCGCGCAGGGCCTGCCGCACTGTCCCCAGCAGGCCGGTGGGCTGCTGCTCCGTCAGCAGCTGCAGCAGGACAACCGCAAAGCCGTACAGCGGGTCAAACACTGCCGCGCCGCCGCACTCTGCCCCTGCTTCACTGGTGCCGGCCCGCGGGCCGGTTCTCGCGCCGCTGCCAAACATTTGGGAGGGGTGGATGTAGGGCATCAGCTGCTCCTGCGCCTCGCAGATGCGCGCGCCCATTGGTGCCAAGCCCAGGCTGAACTCGAGCTGCGCCAGCATGGCTGGCACCAGGCTGAGCTTGGCGGCGCCGCTGCCAGCCGCCAGCTGCATGGCCGACGGCGCGACCATATGCGCCACTGCCAGGGGCGACAGCGGCGCTGCGAGCGCGGGGCTGTCGCAGGCAAGTGCACCGTCGTCCAGGCCCGCGCAGGGCGCAAGACGCTGCACCGTCTGCAAGTAGGCGAGCGCGGCGCCGGCGTCCGCTGCTATGGCCACTGCGTGCTGCCACGACAGCAAGCCGCGATCGAGGCGCGCTGCCAGGCTGGTGTCGCCGTGGCGCTCCTCCACCACCCACAGCGTGCACCCGCCCTCCAACAATCGGTCCTCAGCGCCGCCGCCACCGTCGCTGCCGTTTCCGCCTTCACCGCTGCTGTCATCCCCGCCGCTGTCCTCATCCATCGGCGTCGCTGCGTCGTCTGGCTGGATGCACGCCCCCAGGATGGCCGCCACGTTGGGGTGGGCGCAGCAGAAGCGGCTGCAGGCGCGCTGCAGCTCCAGGGCACTGACAGGCTGCGGCAGCGCGAGCCGCCACACGCGGCAGGGGGTGCCCTTGTAGGCGCCTGCAAAAACGTTGGTGTCGCCGACGCGCACCGCAGTCGATCCGCGCACAACCTTGGTCACTTCCGCCCCGCTCAGCTGCTGCACGCCCAGCGCAGCCAGCAGCTCCGCGCCGCCTGCACTGCGGTCCGGGTACACTGCGGTGCCGATCTTGCCGCCGCTGCTGAGGCTGTCTGCCGCGGCCAGCTTCTCGGCCATGGTGCCGCCACCGTTGCCGGCGACCGCCTTGCCGCCGCCACCCAGGACGGCGAGCTCATCCTCCTCATCCACCAAGTCTCCACACTGCCCTCCACCAGCTGGGCTGCGTGCGCCGGGTTGTGGCGACCCGCGCGTGACGCGGCGGTGCGCCTTGGTGTCGCGGATGACGGCGCGCGTGTCGTCGGGCACCGAGCCGCGCCCGCCAGCCGCGCTGGCGGTGCCGCGCTGCAGCGTGGCCTCGAGCTCCGCGATGCGCGCCATGGCGCCCGCCATGCGCTGCTGCAGCTCCTGCAGCTCAAAGCTGCGCAGGTGGCCAACCTCGCCCTGCGATTGCCGCGTGGGTGGGGCCCAGCAGTGATGCAGGTCCTGGACAACCTGTCCAGAAGCGACGACTGCCTTGGTGGTCATTCTGGCTGCCGGTCGGGACCCGCACTTGCGCGTGTGAGCGCCCCTCAATTGCTGCGAGCCGAAGTAATCACAGCCTGCCACTGCACCATCAGGCGGCTGCAAGCAGCTGCCCTCACCCTCCTCACCCCCACATTATCCTGCGCACCTTGGCCTGCTCGAGCCCCTTCCTGTGCTCCCGCGCCTTGATGCGCGAGATGGCCTCCTGCACCTCCCAGGGCGTGGGGTCCTCCAGCTCCCCAAAGTCTCCCGACACCTTGGCCAGGACAGACCGCACAAAGTTGTGGGGGTCAGCCCCGCCGCCGCGCGTCAGCAGCAGCAGCTCCTCCTCCAGCACCACCACGGCGCGGCCGCTGGGCTTCAGCAGGCTGAGGAACGTCGGCAGGTCCTCCTCGCTGACGCTGGTGTCGCAGTACAGCGCGTCGTACTGCACGCCCTCCGTGCACTCGGGCACCAGCACGTTGCCCAGGCTCAGCACAGCCCCCGACAACGCCTCGACCGCATTGCTGGCCGCGGCGGCCGCCGGCGTCGCAGCGGCAACAAGGTGGTTGCTGGACGGCAGCCGCTCGCGCAGGCGCCGCAGGTTGCCGCGCGCGCCCTCCAGGCGGCTGGCGACGCACTCGATGCCGTGCACCGCGCTGCCGGGGCCCACCATCATCGCGGCCACCGCCGCTACGTAGCCGCTGCCGCAGCCAACGTCTAGGAAAGAGCGGCCGGGCGCCAAGTCAAGCGCCTCCAGCGCGGTCGCCACTACGCTGGGCGGCGGCATGGTGAGCGTGCTGCCATCCGGCATGCGGACCGTCACTTTCTGGTCCCTGCGGAGACAGGTGCACGCGTAAGAGGCGGGAATGCGAAGGCTTGACTTTGTGACTGGTCAATGGCCCAGGGCACGGAATGGACGGGGCTGCAAGTGGCGCAAGGTCGTCGCATCTTGGCCTTTGCACCTGGAACCCAGCTCATGCATTTGCCTACCCCTCGTTCCCCCGCGCTAGGCACGCATGCGCGTCGTCGCGCTGCAGCCTGCTTGCAGAAATGCACCTGAACGCCTCGCGGTGGCGATCGCGCGGCACAAAGAGGTCTCGGGGCACCAGCAGCATCGCGGCCTCCGCGCGCGGGTTGTTGAGGTGGCCCTTGGCCTTGAGGATGTTGACCAGCTCCTCCGCGGTGTGCTCCATCTTGCCGATGGGGCCGGGCGCCAGCACCGCCGACTGGCGCGGGCTGGTGAGCGTGAGCGCGGCGTGCAGGGGCCCCTTGACGTTGGCGATGGTGCCGATGCTGTGGCCGCCGGATGAGAAGCGCAGGGTGCCCTCCTTGAGGTCTAGCGTGAGGGTGATCTCGCAGCGGCCCTCGTGGAAGGTGAACATGGGGCCCGCCTTGCCCTTGTGGCGCGCAGTGCTGCCGCGGCAGGGCTTGGCGACTGCCTGCCACTGGCTGAGGTTTGACACGTGGAAGTAGCGGCCGTTGACGTAGATGTAGCCGTAATAGTCCAGCCCGATGCCGCAGCCCTCCTGGCCGATGGAGTGGTTGAGGTCCATGCCCGCTGGCGCCACGCCCACCAAGAAGTTGGTGGATAGCCCATCTGAGGGCTGCTCCAGGCGCACCACCCAGCTGTGCACCTCGGTCTTGGAGTACTCGCGCATCCCCAGGACCGTGGCCTGGCCCAGGAAGCTGTCCAGCGCGGCGGCGGGCTTGAGCGTGGCCACGCTTCCGTCTGCGCTGATGTTGGCCCAGGGTGAGGCCCTGAGCGCGTTCCACTTGAGGGAGAGCGCGAGGTCAAGGAACATGCTGCTGCTGTGGAGGGTGATGGAGTCCATGATGTTGTCCAGGGAGATGTAGGGCCACACCTCCTCTGCGGGGTGGGTTGTTTACGGGGAGGGGAGGCCAGGGGGAATTGGTGGGCCCAGGCGCAGGATGGGATGTTGGGTTGTTGCGGTGTGCGACAGCCAGACGTATGCCTTGGCTTTGTGTGTGTGTGTGTGTGTGTGTGTGTGTGTGTGTGTGTGTGAGTGTGTGCGCACGTGCGCAATCGCGCGCACCAACAGTCGCACGGCATGCACCTGGTGGTGCAATACAAATCAGATGTCACGGCCAGGCCAACCGCACTCATCCTGACAAAAATTGAAGTGCGCAGAGGGCCGTGGGCCCCCACCCTCACCAGGGAGGCCATCTCCAGCACCCTGCAGCACGCCGTTCTTGTAAAAGGCGATGTGGCGCGACGTGGCGTCCATGTCAAGCTGCACTGTCACCAGGTCGCCCTCCGCGTACGGCTCTGCGCAGCGCGTGACCAGCTTGCCTGCCAGGGAGCATCGCATGGGGTCGCGGGGCTCAAACACAGGAGCGTGTGGGTTGCTGGTGAACAATGCCCACAGCTGGGGACTGTTGGGCCCACCAAATAATTGCACAGCCTGGCCGCCAAAAAGGAAATGCAACCCAGCCCCACAGAGTCTCTGGACCCACCTGCGACGCGGATGGTGCCATTGGAGAGGTAGTAGGTGCGGCTCTTCATCTCCTGGGGGTCCGCGTTGAGGTCGTGGCCGCCTACTGTGACGCCAATGAAGAGGTTGCTGTCTTCCACGTGGTTCACGTACACGTTCCAGCTGTGCTGCCCGCTCGCAACGCACAGCGTGCCCAGTACGGTGGCATAGTCGCCGCCTTCGTTGCTCATCTTGGTCACAGTGAGGCCGTCGATGACGTGCAGGTCGCGCCCAGCACGCACCTCGTCCCAGCGCAGCTCGCCTGGCAGGGTTCAAGGGATTGGAGAAATTAGCAGAGTTGCGTGTATGAGTCAACCGGGTTGCTTGCCAGCTTGGCTGGATCCGCTCTAGGCACAACATCACTCGTGCATCTGACAGCTACATAGACACACCCGTGCTGCCCTCCCCTTCCCATGCGTGTTTCAAAATGTTCTTGCCAGCGCCACCTCCTACCCCCCAGCTCACCCGTATACTCCCCCATGTTGAGCACAGTGGGGCGGTTCTGGATGGTCACCTTGCTCTCCTCGCTGGCCAGCGTGACCGCCGCCACCAGGGGCCCAGTGACGCCCGTGAAAGCCTCCCCCAAGTGGACGCCGTTACGGCTGAAGCGCAGTGTGCCGCGCCCAAGATCCATGCCCACCGTCAGAACATCGCCGTTTTTGAATGCCGCTGTGGGGCAAGTAGGCAAGCATCATGGGGCGCGTCAGCTGGGAGGCTTCTAAACGCCGTGGTTACCTTTGCCAGCGGACTCCAGCAGTTCGTTGGGTGCCCTCTGCAGATACGCCACCCCCAGCAGTGCTGAGCGCGGCCCCTGACAACGAGGCCACATACCCTGCCACAGGGCCCCCCACGCCCCGCCACACCCTCACATGTGAACTCCTCCTCGCGGCCGCCAAAGCGGCGATCGCCGTCGCTGTGCAGCGCCCAGCCGCAGCCAGCGTCGCCGACGCATTTGGCCGTGTCCATGGTGGGCGCCGCGACGCCGACCCAGATGCCGTCTGGCCCGAGGCTGTCCAGGATGACGTGGAACTCGTGGCAGCCGCGGTCCGCGTACAGGATGGTGCCCGTCACAGTGGAGGCGGCCGCGCTGCTGCTCTTGGTGGCCGTGAGGCAGTTGGAGGACAGCTCCAGGTCAGCGCCGCGGCCCACGGTGTCCCACTCCATGTCCGCGAGGGTGCGCGGCGTGCGGTTGAGCGGCAGCGTGTAGGAGCCTGCAGGGGCAAGGAGGGGCACATGGCGCGGTAGAATGTGGGGCCCACCTGGAGGGATGAGCCCTGGGTCCATTAGGCCCGTGCGTTGCAGAGGCTGTACGCCAGGAAAAGGGTCCCCGCTTGTTCATGACGGTGCCAACCTTGTCGCTCGTGAGCTCTCGCTTCCTCAGCCTCCCCAACGCTCACACCGCTCACCCAGCAGTGTGATCTGGTCCAGCTCACTGTCCATCGACACAAAGGGGTAGAGCCGGCCACGGATGCCGCGCGCTCGGCCCTGTTCGATGCCATTGCGCAAGAACACAATCTCGCCCTGCCCAGGGTTACGGAGCGCAAGCAGGAGGCGTGGAGGTTGGGGTGGAAGGCGCAAAGTTTGGAGGCGTAAAAGCTAAAGCCAAGAATTTTGCTACTTACAATAGCTTCCGGGACCACAAAGTGTTGCAAGACATGATACTGGTGCAGCCATTAGCCAAACACAAAACCCCGCTGCCATTGATGTTCAGCCCGAATCCCCCAAACCCCCAAAACACCAAAGCTGGCCGCAGATGTCAGCGCCTCCCGGACAGCGCCCACCTGGTCTGCGTCCAGCACGACACCCACGATGTCGCCCTTTGTGAAGTTGGCATTGCTGGTTGCCACGCGCCGGCCGCCCACGCGGATGACGCCGTTGCTGAGGTAGTAGGTGCGGTCACGCAGGTCCTGGGGGCGTTTCAAGGTACATCCAGGTGCGGAGGGTCGAGCTTGAGATGCAGCCACTTGTGGGGCAAAGGAAGAGTCATCATGGAGGCCATGATCACCGACGCCCCGCATGTCTCGCTTGCCATCTCAGCCACGCAAGCTTTACGCGCCCTTCATGCATCGCCCCGCTCCCAACATCGCCCTGTGTCCTGTGGTCCCCACGCACCTGCGGGTCCTGGTCCAGCGGCATGCACCCCCTGCAGACGCCGATGAAGATGCTGTCCGGCTCGCTGAGGTGGTTGACCTTGACCAGCCACAGGTGCACCCCCGAGATGAAGCCCTGGTTGGCCAGCACCGTGGAGTAGTCGCCAAACACCTCAGACACCTTCTGCACCGAGCGCCCGCTGATGCGCAGGTCGCCGCTGCAGGCCTCCGCATTCCACTCCAGGTCAAGCTGCTGCAGCTTGGTGATGTTGACCAGCCCCGCCTGCAGGTGCTGGTTGGCTCCCTGCAGGAAGGCCAGCGCGGGCGAGATGGGCGCCACCAGCCCGGTAAACGCGCTGCCCAGCAGGTGGCCGTTGCGGAAGAATTTGGCGTAGCCGCCGATCAGGTCCAGGTCCACCGTGATGCAGCAGTGGTTGCTGCTGCTCTCGACCACCTGAACGCAGCCGTCATGCGGCGGCGGTGCGCTTGAGGCCGCCGTGACCCCGGCGCTGCCCGGCAGCTTCACCCACACGCCCCACTTGCCGCGGGGCACGTCAGCGACGGCATCGGTGGCGCTCGCTGCAGGTGCTGCAGCCGCCTGCGCACCAAACGGCAAAATTGGTGACTGAGCCACAGCAGCGGCTGCAGCTGCAGCCGCTGCCGCAGCTGGGACGGCCGCTGTGCCGCTGCCACCGCCGCCACCGCCGCTGGCTGCTGAGGGGGATGCGCCCGGGGCCGCCTGCTGCTGCGCCGCGCCAAGAGCGCGACCCGCGAGCGCCTGTGGCAGCGATGCAGCCAGGATGCTGCTGCTGGGCGCCTGGGTGTGCTCCGAGCTGACGAGGCCCACGAACACGTGGCCTGGGTGCGGCCCCATGTTGTCCAGCTGCACCGTCCAGCGGTGGCGGCCGCCTGTGAAGGTGGTGGACCCGTGGAACTCGCCAACGCCGGCCGCGTTGGTGGCCGCGGTGGTGTTGTACTTGACGCATGTGTCGAGGTCCGCCATCTGGATGTCGGCGGTGGCGCTGGTGGGCGAGTACCACGTGAACAGCGGGCTGGGCGTGAGCGCCTCGTGCAGCGACACCACCATGCCGGGCTGCGCCGTGATGAAGGGGTACATCTGCAGCGCCGCAATGCTCGCGCACGGCAGCGCCGCGCGCATCAGCGGCGTGTCATTGTGCGCGAGGGTCACCATGATGACTGGCTGACCGTCCTCCTTGGGGGACAGGTCCATGGACAGGATGTCGCCGCGCGCAGGGCGCGCCACGCACGCAGTGGCGCAAATGGCATAGAGCGCCTTGCGCGACGGATTGTCCACGCTCATTGCCGTCACGGGGCTGGCCTTGTTGGGGCCGTGAGGGCCGGCCGCCGCGGCGCCAAAAGATCCCATGGGCAGGGGGCTGCTGCTGCTGGCCCTGCCACTGGCGTTTGCCGCTGTGCGCGTTGGGCTGCCTGGCACAGGCGAGGCGCTGCTCCCGCCGCCGGCACCGGCAGGGTGCACGACGACGTTGGTGTTGGCCAGCGCCGGGCAGGGCCGCAGGGCTGCCAGGCCCCAGGTCAGACTGAGGCCAGGGGCGGGAAACATGGCAGGGTGCTCTTGAAACACAAAGGCACGGTCAGCGGCGAGTGACAGCTTGGCAGTGGGGCGGCCCTACGCATGCATCAAAAAGATCATGGGCCCAGTCCAGCCTGTTGGTTGGGCTGGTCCTCTCGTTGCTCATACCCGCTTGAACGCACAAATCTACCTCTCTCCCTCCCTCAGCCTACATCGCCAAACTTGTGCGCACCTGTCGACAGGGCCGTGCTGCAGATCGTCCACGCGCAGCTTGATTGTGAGGCCGCCGCAGTAAGCCACAAACTTCATGACCTCCAGCTCCATCACGCCGTAGCATTCCTTTGGGGCGGCACTGCGGCTGGGCTGCGTGATCTTCTGGCACTCGATCGTCAGCGCCTGGCTTGACAGCGGCCGCGACCAACCGGGGATAATGGCGGTGCTCTTGTGCACCGGGGCGGGCGGTCGTGGCGCCGCAGGCCCTCCAGCGGCTGGGGCAGGGGCGGCGGCTGCCATGGTTGCCGTGACAACCTGCCATTTGGCATGGGAAAGAAGCGCCGTCTGTCCATCGTCCTGCTGCTGAGTAGCAGGTGTGCGGCCAGCAACCGCTTGGCCAAGCCGCTGCCACTGCAGCAGCAAGGTCTTGCACATGTGAGCATTGCGCACCACCAATCCAGCGGAAGCTAGCCGCCGAAGCACCACCCACGTCAGAGACGCACCTGTGCAACTGCTGAGCTAATTGTGCCTCCCACTGCAGCTGCTGCTGATGTCCCTGCTCGTGAATCTGTTTCCACGCCTGAAAGCAGCTGCTGTCCAGTGGACACAAACGCCGGTGAGGTCCTGTTTGCCTCTAGTTCCGTCTGCTGTCCTTCACCTCCTGCGGTGTGGGTCATGGGGGGAAAGGCTTGCCACGGCAGCATGACCACTGCCAGGTGCTGTGGACGAACACCAGCCGGGCGGTGACATTTCTGCGCCACTCATATTGCTTGTTGGCATAGCTAAAGCTTATACATAACCAATATCCAATCAAGACGTTCAAGAAAAGCGTCAGCTGCACCGTCCGGCTGGCAAGGCGCGGCTGCTCGGCCGACGGCGCACACCGCCTAGTGTGTCTTGTTTTCGCAGACGCAGAGCAGAGTGCCCGCCATTGCCACAACAAGATGTGCGCGCACCACTTGGGACCTGCTCTGACGCTGCTTCGTCAGATGGGGCTCGCCGTGTGGAGCTCCCTTGGCCCATGGATGCAGTCAACTGCATCGACAGCAGGCGCGAGCACGATGGCAGCGCAAACAGTCAACTGCGCGCCGGAGGTGCGGGCCTGCTGGCACACGGCACCGGCACACCAGTACAGACGACACACAGAGCGAAGGTCTTCCATCGTCTCTGCAGCCAGCCAGTCTGCCTGCACGCAACACCGTTGATGGAGGCCGCACTCACCCGCGCCCACGCCGGGTCTCATCCTTGGCGTAGTCCTATGGGCAAAGTAACATGGCCACTTGCTGCTTCCACGAATCCCGCCCCGATCTGCTGCACCGCCCGTCTGCGGTGAAGGTCAAAATGTCCACCCTCGGCTGCTGTGTAGTTGTCCTGCAATTGTATGTTTAGCCTAATTCACATACACCTGTCTCACACAACGATCACCCTTGTACTGGCCCGGACCTCTCCAACCCCCACCCGCTCCCGTCGCAGGGCTACAGCTAAAACTCCCCTCCGTGCCTGCTGTTTTCACAGGAGCTTGATTTGATGTTTATTCGTGTCTTCTTGCTCCACACCGTACAGTCCTCTTGGGGAGGGGCCCGCCAAAAGGTTGGGTGGACGGACCACCCTGCCGGCCACCCAGCCACCTTACAGGGTGACAACTTTTGCGACTCGGCCATCCATACCCATAAAGTGCGCCTGCTACTGTAGCTGTGAATAACACTCAGATACACACATGTGCTAGATACGGCCACACAGGCAACATATCGACACCACCCTGCTGAAGCTCCGACACGCAGCCTGCACACTCATGTTTATCATAGTTGCCAAAGAATTGAGGGCTTAAGAGTTTACACTGCTGCAGATGCTAGGCCGCACAGTGAAAATCTGATTCTCTGGTGGCACATACTAGACGCGTGTATGGTGCAAGTACTGATGGGATGCTGCAGCACCAGCAGGCAAGATGTGATGAGGTTGGCCACGCCGATTGCCCCAAGGCAAATTTGTGAGGCGAAGAGCAATGCACGGGTATGTCATACATATGTGGATGCACGCATTTATGATAGCCTATACAACAAAAAACCTTCGAAAAGTAGGGAAAATCAAGTGGGTCGTGCATAAGCTCGCCCGCACACTCACATCTCAGGCGGATGCACGCAAAATGCACTCAGGTGGAGCAGCTTCATTGAAACATGTATTGCGATTTGAGAGCTCAGGAGGTGTTCGACCAGCGTGTTTGCAGCCCAGCCGTTGGTGACGTGCGTTGTTACGTGCAGCGTGCCAGATAGACCAGGCAGCCATGCCTAGTGTCCAGGATGGGGCAGGTGGGATGGAAGGCTGACTGCCAGGGAGGCGCCGGAAGGCGCGTTGGAGCGAGAAGTTTGGGGTCTGGACACGGCAACGAAAGACCTTTTGGCAACCCCGTCCTTGGGACCGCACGTGTTGACCAACGGCGCGACCCTCAGCAGCCCCATTGTTGCTGCAAACGCGGGTGCAGAGAGGATCAGCAGCCACAGGGCAGGTATCAGCCGGGCGGCGGCAGAGGAGGATCCCACAGCCATGCTCAGCGCCGTCACGATGGCAGGCGCGACACCACCCAGGGCGCAGCCGGTGTTGTACGACAGGCTGAAGCCTGTGTGTGGGGCAGAAAAATGTTTGAGGATGTTGAAAACTGACTAGACAAACTCAAGACTGCGCAGGGATAGGTAGATAGATAAGTTACTCATGCCATAGCATCACTGCCATCGCAGTGATGCGCAGGGATACACAGCCAGCCAGATATCTGCCCCTCATCAGCCCTGCGCAGGGCGGCATGCCGCACATGCGAGCCTCACCTGTAGAGCGCATCTCGGTGGGGTATACATAGACAAAAGCGGCCGCATGGATGCCTGCGTTGCACGCGTGTGCGCACGTATGTGTGTGTGTGTGTGTGTGTGTGTTGATGTGCATGCGTAATTGCAGGTGGGTAGCTGGGGGGAGTAAATGAGTGGCAGCCAAACACTGGTTGCCATCTCTAGGGGTGTGTCTGGGGTGCAGCGTGTTTGTCAGAGGACGCGCTTGGCTGTGTAACCAGGTGTGGCACGGCCCTCATGCCACCGAGCAGGCCCAAGGGTGTCAACCTTGCTCCCTCGCTCTCACCCTGCCGTATCTACAATCCCCTTCTCACCAAGCGCAAAGCCACACCACCCCAGCCCTAGGTTTGTCATGATCCAAGCGCCAGCCACGGAGCCGGTGTCAAAAATGGCGATGGTGCCGAGGCAGAAAAGAGAGAGCAGCCATGTGGACGCACTACACAACACCAGGCAGGGCGTGCGCAGTGCAACCCAGCCACCAAGAAGAATGCCCACGTACTCCACCACCTGTGTTTGAGGATAAGCAAACAAACCGCAAACCTGACCAATGGCGCACAATTCTGCGTGTCGATCAACAGCACTGCAGACGCCTCAAACAAGCTTGACATTTGCTTGCACACTGGCACTAGTACATGTCATGTGCTGGCTCAAATATTTTCTTGACCTCTGTGTGCCTTGGATTCAGTGTGCATTGGTTCCAGTGTGCATTTGATTCAGTTGGATCGCACATCCCTGCAGGTTGTGGGTTGCTAGCATATCTCGACACCAGCCTCGGCGGGTGCAATCGCGCCCTCACCATGCTCGTCAAGACCATCCCGTAGGAGAGCTCTGTGGACATGACACCAGTCGTGCGCAGCCGAGCCGGCATCCAGGCATACTGGACAGAGGCGAAGGGTGCGTAATGCACGCAGGCTGAGCACTAAAACTTTTGTGTGCACGGTATGCATAAAACTTGCTCACACAGGTAAGCGGTTGCAGGAGCAGACCTATCGCTGCAAGCATTGCAAGCCACGCAGCTGCAGCTGCGAGACCATCCTATCTGCACAGACACTGCCCACTCATGCTGTTTCAGCCTACATCCACACGTCCACAGGCTCACCACAACGTAGATGGCACTTGCCAGCCACGTAACAAAAGTGACGTCCAGCAGCAGTCCTATCGGCCGCCGGCGCAGCAGGCGTACCATTGGCAATCGGTGGCCCGCCCATGAGAGAGCGCTCTGGCCCAGCGCCTCGCGTGCAGCTGGCGTGGCGACTTGAACCTTGCCCTGGTGCTCCTCGTCTGCATGGCCGCCCTCAACCCTGCGCACGGCCAGGAACTCATCGCTTTCCACCATGTGAACACGCAACAAGAATGCGGTAACAACAAAGGGAACTGCCACCAAGAACGGCAGGCGCCAGCCCCAGAGCCCCATTTGCGCTTTTAGCCAAAGGGAATGGAAAAGGTGAGAACAGCAGGAGAGGAGGGCTTGGTGAGAAAATGGACCGGAGCAGGGCGCAGCTGAATGGACCCCACAAAAGGAGCAGAGCTGGAGCCCTGTAACTGACGAGGTGTGTGCCGAACACAGCTTACCCATCTCATTACCGCCACACCTGCAAACGCCAAAGCAAAAGTGCGTCGTGTATGTTCCGCCCGGCCTCCACACCTTGAGTAGTGGTGGCGTTGACGATCATAACCACAGACATCCCTACGATGCCGCCGAGCGCGCATGATGCCGCGATGAGCACCGAATGTATAGCCTTTTGGCTGCGCCGACCTGCTTCGTGCACGTACACGATGGCCGTGGTGTATTCAGCACCCACTGCGAGCCCCATGCAGATGCGCAGCACTGCCAACAGGGCAGGCGCGGCAGGACCAATGTGATTGTACGTGGGTAGGCAGCCAATAAGCGTCGTTGATATGCCCATCAGCAGGATCGTAATCAGCAGGGAAACCTGGGGGAAAGGGCAGTCACACGTGACACCAATCATGCTGGGTGGTGGGGGCAGTGCGGCACTGGTATCGTGCGTCATGGTACTCTCCGCTAATGATTCGCTTGAAACATGCAACAGTACGTGCCTGTCCCTTTCGCATGCATGCACGTTCGCACATGTGTGTATGTGTGTGCGAGTATGTGCATGCACGTGTGCATTCCTGCGTACCTGCGTGGCTGCTTGCGCGTGCTGATGTGCGCACGGCTGGTTGGCCCAGGCGGCCACGCTGACTGACAAGATGCAAGCTGGACTGTGGCTGCACTTGAAAAGATGATTGACCCCGCGGCCGCCACTGCATGCTCACCTTGCGGCCCCAAATGTCTCCAACGCTTCCAAACACGATCGCACCCAAAGGTCGCACGATAAAGGCAGCTGCATAGACCTTGTCCACGCGCAGGTGCGCATGAGAAGAGGGCGTGAGCGCGGGTGAGGGTGCATGCGACGTAGTGTGATTGGACACTCTTGCCAGCTAGGCAGCTAGGCAACGGCGTATACATGCGTAGAAACGACGTGTGTTCTGCGGCGACGACGAGCGATTGGCGTCAGCAACTCGCGAGGGCTCGCGAGGGCGCATCTTCATTCACACCATCCAGAACGCCAGGGCCTTGGTCTCCTTGCTGGCATGAGGAGGGAAGAACGCGTTGGAGATTGGGGCGTCCAGCTGTGCCACGATGCTGAAGTCGTACTGCGACGGCGGCACAGCAAGCAGCGTGGTGCCAATATTGCTGCGGGACGCGCCAGGGGATCCACGCGAGCAGCCACCACGCCTTGCTCTCCCCGCCTTGGCGCGCAAGTTTACGCTTTATCCCGCCGTGCTGCCTCGGCATACCACTTACAACTGCTATGCAGCATCAAGAGAGTTGCCTCACCCATTCCATTACGGTGCCTAGCATCAGGGAGACTAGGACGAGCCTGGGGCAGGCTGGCTTGGAGGCTGCGCTGCATCCCTGGGCGCCTGCCAACGCCAGCCCCTCAGCGTTCCGGCCCGCCGCTTCGCCACCAGCAATAAATTCTTGACTCATATATGTATTTTTACTGTTCGCTCGCAAAGCTCAAGCAGGGTCACACATCAGTGGGTCACCCGTGGTTGTCTAGCACAAGGCGCGCGACGAAAGATATGAAGAAAGCCGTTATTGATGCCGAAAGTATTGACGCGTTATCTGCATGCACATATGCGGTGTGCGGCGGAGTGAATTGTCCGACACCTCGCTTCAAGCGGCGAGAAGCTGTCACAGTTGCGAAGAAGCGGGAAGTTGTGAGCTTTCTCAAGCTGCTTGCCGCACACTTTGCTACTGCGGATCCCCGGTGAGGCGGTTACGGCCGACTACGACTCCAAGGTAGTATACTTTCCTTTCTCAACAGTGCAGGCACCAGGCGTGCCTGCTAGCGTGACGGTGGGGTGGGCGGCAGTCGAATTGCGGCATTGATGGTCACCAATGCAGTGAATTATGCAGTCATTCACACAGGTTCAAGCCGAGGGGATTGCTGCGTATGGTGCATCAACCGACGGGGTTCCAGCCGCCATCTTGCGGCAAAAGCGTGTCAAATGCGCAGCAGCACAACGCAACCCCTTGGATACACATTCCCGAATGCGCAAAGGTACTGAAGTGATGCTGCTCATGGGTGTTACAGCGGGTGCTCGAGTCTGCAGGTGCACTAACAGCTAGACAAAGGAGCGACAAGTCTGGTCAGAACAAGACACGCCAAGATATGGAAGTCAGATTCAACGGGGGAGGTAGCATGCGGAGCGGCAGCGCAAACGTCGCAGCTTACAGAAGCCCGTTGGAGGCCAGAAATCCCAACGTCAAGAGGACGAGCACGCCCGCGATGCCACCTGACGAGGGACAAACAACGACAAGAGAGGGTGCGTCAGGCACCAGCCCCTTAGTCATGAGGGGCATCGAATGCAAACACAGAATTTGCACCAACTGTGCAACTTTGTACATGCGCCTGCACGCCACGGCGGTCCTGTCTTCTGACCCGGCATAGGCAGTGGCAGCATGTGCAGTGGCATGCGCTATACGGTGCCCTTCGGCAGCCCGGAAGCCCACCGGCAAGCTGCAGGCTCCTCTTCAGCATGTCAGCTGATGAGGCGCCGTTGTCCTCACTCAGGCCGCTGGTGACCAACCCTGCGTAGTACTCAACCCCCCCATGGGTTTGCGCCTTCAGCTGTTGCTGTTGCTGCTGCTGCTGCTGCTGCTGCTGGAGTGCTGGAGCGGAGATCGGCGACTCCGGTTGCTGCTCTTGTGGCTGAGGTGTGTGTGATGCCTGGGCCTGGGAATGCGTTGTTAAGCGACATGATAGGCATGGGAGCCCCTATGACATAATCAGGTGGATCAGCCGGGCGCGGTGGAAAGCGGCTGCTGCTGGAGCTTGGCCTCCTGCTAGTTCTTGCTCGCCGCCTTCCTCCCCCCGGGTTGCCGCCACGCACCGTCTGCTGCTCGGTTACAGACTGCACCATGTTGTAAAGCTCCGAGCACCCAATCTCCCGTGGCTCGCGTCTGGCACTCCGGCATTGCAGCACGATTGCCCGAGCCATGCGCCGTGGCCGCAGCGCGACTGCGTATCCTCGCGCACCCTGCCAGGCATTGCTGCCACAGGCGCCCAGAGCGTTGGTCGGTGCACACAGCATTGGGCTGCAAGCGATGCGTTATCGACGCGCTTTCAAATTATCAGCGTTCGGGAGAGACTGTGCGCAATTGCGGACAATGGGATTGCAGTCGAGATCGTCGGGAAGATCGTTGATCATAGGACTGTACACGGTACGATACCGTCCAAATCACAGGTGACAGATGTAAGGCATGGTTACATACTGCCGCACATGCAAGGCACGGAGGCTTGAGCTTGATCAGGGCACGCACCACCAAACTGTCGTGGCTCATCATCACGATCAGGTGCTGAGGCAGCGTGTCAGCGAGGCACTGGAAGGCCTGGTGAGCCCTGGTGGAAATCTCAAGTACTTCACCACGTACCTCTGCTGACAAGTTTGATGCAAGGTTGCGGGCAGGGATACCCCACTCGCTTTGTGCACTCTGCTGCTTGCCGCACACTAGAATCCCCGGTGATGACACGGCGACGGCCGACTACGACTCCAAGGTAGTAAAGGTATACTTTCAATTTTATATCGTAATATTACATGGTGTAAGCACGGCCCAATTGCAAACAAACCCATGACAACCCATGGTTGCTCAACCCCCGTTGTGCTGTTGAAGAATTTAGCCCTCCCCCGGCCCCAAACACTCCAGACGATCTCGCTCAAAGCGTGCCTGTGGCCCTTTGAATTGTTGACATCGCACTGTTACACATAACTCAGCTTGGAAACTAGTTGAAGATGCAGCAATGCAGCTAATTGATATTGACCAGCTCGCCTACAGGCACCACCTGCTCGGCAAGCAATATGTACTGTATGGAAATCTACGGCAGAAGCAAGGTGGAGTAAATACCGCAATTCAAAGTTTAAGGCCCAAGGGAGTCGTCTCTGTTGTACCACTTAGCCGGTGTGGTTCTTGACCACACAAGGCCCACCGCCCTCACCGTAGCACCGCTGCTGCGCAGTGCACAGCCCCAAGGCGCATTTGCGGCCCCCAGCTCTACTGGACATCGTCCTGAGGGTGCATATATAGCAATGGTTGGCATGAGCAACAAACACACCAAGACCAGAGTGGGTGATGTCTCAAATGCGAGTGAAGCGGCTCTCGCACACACCGGAACGCCTGCAATCGGACCCATTGCCTTGACCCACCGTGGGGATCAGGAAGGGGCATGGCAGACCTAGCCTGTCTAAGAGTTTAATGAGCCCTTCACTCGGTGCACCACACACCTTAAACGTGCCCCAGTTGCCGCGACCGCCACCCTCTTTCTTAGGACCCTCCTTCAGCTTGTGGCCATCACCTGTTGGGTTTGAAGGCACCACGCGAGCGTGGCGGGGGCGTGCGGGACCGAGCCAGAGGGCAACGCGGGGTCGGTGTGGTGCAGGGCGGCTGAGCCGGTGCAGCGTGTCATGGGTGGCAACAACTCTCCTCAACAGTCAGGCTAGCTTAAAGGGCCACAGCAAATCAGTGAAAACCTGCCATGCAGCATCCCTGCATCAGTGGCTTCGCTTCTGTGTGGCGGGATGCCTTATGCTCCTTGATTGTGCAGGACGCTGGCTTCAACGTCGCCCTACAAGCATGCAGTCGTGCAGCTTCATTACAAGGGGGCTAATACGCTCACCGCTGTGGCGCTCCATGCGTGCGTTCTTAGCCACTTCGTGCTTCTTGTGGTCATCATGCTTGTGAGCTATCTTGGCGCTGTGCTCGTCGGGCTTGACTGCCTCCATGCTCGACGGTCCTGCGCTGTCCTGCTGGTCAAGCGGCTGAAAGTGGCCAAGGAGCAGGTAAGGGGGCGGAAATAGAGGTCTGGCGCACAGTTGTCTGGGATACATGGCAATCAGCAGCCAAAGAGTGCGGCGCGAGGGCACTTCAAGTTGCAAGCTGTCGTGCCCCTGTCGCATCGTTGCTGCGCCATGGGTGGGGCCATGCCCCATGTGCGTGCCGCTCATCCCGTTCAACCAAGTGAAGCAAAACTCTGTACACGCTTGCTTTGGCTGTTGCATACGGGCTCGCTTCATTCCGTTTCGAGATCACGCATCCTGCCACGACAGCACCTCACCAAAGATAGGGAGCGACTGCGTCGAAGAGGATCCAGAAAAATCATGTGATTTTCACACTGTTGAAATAGTCCCTCGGCACGAATGTGCTGGCCCAGAAGCCTTTCGCCCGTATGAGTAATATCATAATGGCTCAGGTGTTTGCCGAGCAAATGAGCAACGAAGGACGATACGGTGATAACCACCGCAAATGGGCAAGCTTTTAAATTTTCAGTATCGTAACGCTAGCTGTAGACAGCAGCCAAATCGCTCGCCCAACCAACCGCGTCGACTGCTCGCAAATAGTGTACGGTACACTTCTTGCGCCATTCAGCGAGGACGGTTTGGCGGGTCTTTAGATTCAAATGTTAGTTCATGCACACGGCTGTGTAAGGGAGGCACACACCAAGCGCGTGTTGCGACCTGCTGCCCTGGCTCCTTTGTTGGCATGTGGCCCCGTCCCAACGCGCCGCTCCCTCCACACCATAATACAACACCATCCCAAGGGAATGCAGCTAGATTTTTGAAAGACATGCGTGGCCCACTGTTCACCGCGCTCTCCGGCGGAGACCCTGACCCTCGGCAACCGCTGCTGGTACAGCACCTCCGCCGTCGCCGGCGGACGAGTGCCGGGCGCCCCTGTGCAGTACCTGCAGCTGTAGCGCTCGCGGCTACGGCTCTCATCCTGCTGGGTTTGCTGGGCGCGTCGCTGCACCGCGCAGATTTGTTTGCTGGAGTGCTCGCAGGCGCTTTGAGAGGCGCCAGTAGCGCGGTCAGCTTGACGAAGGGCCCGAAGCCACTGGCCTACCCTGTTTGGTGGTGAGCATAGTGCAAGCGCCTGACTGGTGAAGCGCGGGCCTCAGGTACCAAGGCTTCCGCAGCTGTCGACACTGACGGGTGATCGGCCGCTTGCGGCCCAGCCTATGTCATCACTGAATGCGCACAACCGACCCGTGCGCAGGTTTGCACCATTCTACTCAGGTTCTGGTTACGGCAGTGAGGCGCTCAGCTATGTTGCAGCAATGCTGGGCACAGGGGCCTTCCGGCCGCAAGATGTGTGGGTGACTCATTCTGGTGACACGGTGACGCCGGCAGTTGTGAGGGCCATGGAGGCCTCGGGGCGCAGCATGCTCCAACAGCAGGTGCGGGGTAGCACACACGCAGTGGTCGGCAGCAGGCATACTACTGGACTGAGCGGCGTGGCCTGGAGCTTGTCCATGAGAGGGTTGCTCTACAGGCAGCGACCAGCTCACCCTGGGGGCCCTGCCTGTACACACAACCATCCCTCTTGCGCGGCTAGAAGGCCTCCTCCCCTGAGCCCCCTCCCTCTCCAACATGCACCCACACCTGTGCGGCCAGGAGTACGCGCGCCTATCGCGGGGCGCTCTGCCTGAGGCCGACTTGCAGCGCCCCGCCATTGCCATCTGCCACTCTTTTCCCGAGTGCTGGGCGCGCCGCAAGCCGCGCACCTGGGCCGCGATGAGGGACGATCCCCCAATGGCTGCCCCAGGCTGTCCCTGCCCCCCTAGCGGCTCTGATGAGGTCGCGTACCGTATCGGACGCACCATGTGAGCCCAGGCCGAGGTCCTGCTTTCCCTATTAAGCATGGAAGCTTGCTTGCTGTTTGCACGTGCTCTTAGCTATAGCGTCATCTGTATTGTTGCTCTCTCATGTTCTGCACACGTGTCGCCCCGCCTGCACTGGTCTAGGTACGAGACTGCAGGGCTGCCCCAGCACCTGGTGGCCCACTGCAACGCCATGGATGAGGTGAGTCAGGACTCATGGGAGCACGCAAGAGTGACACGCAGGATGGAGATGCTCACACCATGTAGGTTTTTGCCTTCTCATGTGGCGTTGCACTGCCAGCTCACACATGCACTGTGTCCAGATGTTGCCTCTGCCTCCGCAATGACCCTCCTGAGCAGGTGTGGGTGCCAACAGAATTCAACCGCCAGACGTTCATCACTGCTGGTGTGAAACCTACGAAGCTGCGGGTGGTTGAGGAGGGTGAGTGCTGAGAGTCGGCTGGGCAGAACACGCAATTTCGTTGCACTGCGAAATGACCACGAACAAGTTGCACCGGGGTGCAAGGAATTTACGTGTGTTATGCCACCAGTGACTGGCCCCAAAGTAACCGCGGTCGTCCACGCGCTACGACCCTGCAGGTATCAACACAACGCGCTGGGACCCACGGGCCTTTGCCCCCTTGGACCCCCTGGACCTGGGGCCACAGCAGCTCACAGGGTTGCCCAGGGGAGCGGTGCAGGCAGTGGACCGTGACGCTGATCCCGGCGCTCGCAGCCTCAGCAGGCAGGTACTGGACAAAACTGGCAGCAGCAGTGCACCTGGACAAAGAGATTCAACAGGGGCCCAGAAACCATTTGGTGAGTGCTTGGCAACCCTGGTGGCGCGAGCTTGGTCAAAAGGTTATGTTGCCACCTGCTCGTGTTTTCGCATCATGATTATGGTTGGAACATACATGGCACAACAATTGATATTGTGTGCAACCACCTCACAGTTTTCCTGAGTGTGTTCAAGTTGGAGGCCCGCAAGGGATGGTGAGCGGGGTCAGGCTTGATCAGCGAGGCAGGGGTTGGCCCTGCACTGCACTGACCCCCCTTTTTGGGAGCCTAGCACTTGCCGACATCACAAAAGTGACAGCAACCCTCAGCCCCAACCCCAGCCTCCCCCCACATCTTTCGCTGGGCCAGGGATGTGTTGCTGGATGCTTTCCTCTCAGAGTTTGGTCCCCAAGAGAACGTTGAGGTGCGTACACATGGTTGTAATTGATTTGACCTAGGCAGGGCTCAAACGATTTAATCTCCCTGATTCGTGCGTGCCCTGGCAGCCATACCCGCCCTTGGGAGCATGTGAAGATGAGGGACCAACACCCGACCCCATCTTGATGTGCCACCCCCTTGCGCCTGTCACACAACGGGTCACCAGCTGCACATCCTGACGAAGCCGTACCCTGGCAGCCACCGCAAGTCTGCCGACGGCGTAGAGGATGTCATGTGGCGGTGGCTGGAGCGTGCCAGGGGACTAACGCGCGAGAGGGATGCGGCAAGGCTGCCGCGCGTGTTTGTATACGCGCGCCACATTGCAGACGATGTCTACCCTCGCCTTTACCTTGGTGCGCTGAGCGCACTCTCCACGGCCTCACGTGGCTTGCCCAGCCTGCGCAACTGCCGAGTATGCATCAGCAGCAGCGGCACACTCGCTATTGTCAAGTCAAGTGTCTGGCAATGCGACGAGCCATAGAAACGAGCTAAACGACGCCATGGATGCCGCCTTCCTTCCTGTACCTCACAGGTGGCGATGCCATAGTGCTGCCCACCCGTGGTGAGGGTTGGGGCCGTCCTCAAATGGAAGCCATGTCGCTGGGGCGCCCCCTCATCACCACCAACTGGAGCGGCCCCACAGCCTACATCAACCACAAGGTAGCCTACCCGTTGGCCTTTGAGGGCCTGTCGAACGCCGCCGAAGGTGAGTGTCAGCCTCATGCACGTTGAGAATGGCGGGGGTTTCAAAGGTGGGCCGGGCATGACAAGAAACTTCCCATTTGCTCACCATTCAATGCAGGATGCACCCCTCACATAAGCCGGCATCAAACAGAATTACATGCCTTAAGACTTGGACAGTCACCTCCTCACGCACCCATCCTACTCATCCACACATGTTTTCATCCTCACACTACCTGCGTCGCTCAAGCCACCATGAACCTACCCATGCCAACCACCCACCCACCACCAGACATGAATGCCACAGACCCAGACGCATGGAACCCATGGTTTGACGGCCAGCTCTGGGCAAAGCCCTCCGCGACCCACCTGCGCCAGCTCATGCGCCAGGTCATCACGCATCCCGACGAGGCCGCGGCTCGCGGCCGTGCCGCGCGCCAGCACCTGCTGAACAAATTCACGCCCGAGGTGCTGGCAAGGCGTGTGCGCGACGAGGTGCTGCGCGTGCAGGCCAAGCTGCTGGCAGGTGGTACCCCCACGGCACGGCGACCGCGCTCTGACTCAGCCCTCCACATCGCACCGGGGGATGGTGACCGAGGGGGCCAGGACGACGGTGCCGCGCTGTCTCGTACGCTGTGGCTGGTGCCCGGAGCCATTCCCACCGCCAGTGGTCGAGGACAGCCGTCAGAGGGCACCTACTGCCACAGGCACCCTGACCTGTGCGAGCGAGCCGCTGCGGCCGCAGCAGCCGCGGCCGCGACTGCGGCCCCGACGCCCATGCTGGGATTTGAGCAGCAGCAGCCCAAAGCGACAGACTTAATGGCTCAAGCACAGGCGGCAGGGTTCTCACGCATCGGGGCGGGTGGGACTGCGGCTGGCCTCGACCCCGTGCGTACAACCCTGGCAGAAATGCTGGAGCGGCTCGAAGCCCCAAGGCCCATCAGAACGTATGCACGGCAGCAGCCACCTCAAGCGGCCATCAATGGACATCTCAGCAGTGTGGTGAGCGGTGCAGCGGCCGGCGTCGGCGAGCAGGGTCCGCCCCCCGCGGTGCTGGAGGAGGGTAGCAGCCTGGTACCTGGTCGCCACCCTGACGGGCAGGAGCCCCAAAAGCAAATGGCTGTTGGGGCCCGGTGGCACAGGGACCAGGGAGCAGTGCAGGATCAAGTGGAGGACGTTGATGGGGACGAGGAGGATGACGGCGCAATAGTCTTGCACACATGGTAACCACTGCAGGTTGCCTGCGGGCGCCTTGCAGGCGCAGCCAACGCCCTGTTGGTGTTTCATGCCACCGTTTTTGTGCTTGACAGCCTTGCACCTCTACACTTGAATTTGCTATGGAAACAATGAACGAACATGATGTTGAGGCTGACACAGGGCAGCTTGCCACTCGCTACAGCTTCCCACTGCGTCACCGAGATTGGGTCATGCTGCTTGTTTACCTGTCGTGTGTCTGCAAGGCTGTGCTGCATATCACGTCTGGTGATTTGAGCAACATACTCACGCCATCGATTACATGACATTGCGTTGTTGCTAACGGACCCTAAATATGCGTGTTGGATGGCTGGCTGGCAGTTGTTGCCCTACTTCTGCTTACGATACGAAAGTCCAGTCAAACCTTGAGCACTCGCTATTGAAACCCTGCACACACGCAATCTGCAAATGTTACGCTTGCTCTCAGTAGAGTTGCAGGTGTGCTCGCACCGCATGTGTTTCGGGGCCCCCCAAGTGTGCCCAAATGCATTCAGCATGGTTGTCTGCCGACATGCGGGATTATATCTGGGCGGAGCGGCTCTGCTACATCATGCACGCTGTTATCTCTAAGTACTAATTCATGATAAGGCAACGCACAATCGCCACAGGAGCGGCCGGCGGGATCGGATGACATAAGGCAGTCATCGCGTCGTCACCACACCGCGCTATTCCCTACTGGAATCTAAGAGCTGTGTACAAAGAGCACATGTATCGACGACCATTGCACCTGTTGAAGTGCTTCTGACACGTGATCTTCCTCCTTGTTGCGATCTGTCTGCTTGTCATGGCTCCCGTGTACGTCGTTACGGGGGGATCTATAGGACTGGGGCTGTACGCTTCCATTGAGCTGGCCAAGCAGGGTGGCACGGTCGTCATTGCGGCCCGCAACCCTGCACGCCTGGCGGAGGCAGTGGAGCGCGTCAAGGCGGCCAGTGCAGAGGCCGGCGGGACTGCGGTTGGTATTGAGCTCGACCTGTCCAGCCTGGCCAACGTGAAGTGCTTTGCAGATGATCTGCTTGCAAAGTACCCAGGGCAGAAGGTGAGGCTTGCGGGGCGAAGGGAGCGCCGCGCAGATGGAAGCACCAGAGGCGGTTTTGGGCGGGCGGGCACGCTTTTTGTGCTTGGTTTCGAGGTTGATGACGGCCCGACTCGCAGCCCCTTCCCCACCCTTTTAATCCTACAGCTCCAGGGCTTGGTGCTCAACGCGGGAATCAACACCCCCAAGTTTGCCTGGTCTAAGGACGGCATTGAATCCACGTGGGCCACGAACCACCTGGTGGGCTGCCGCGATTGCGGCCAGGCATCCCTTTGTGCGGGAGTGGGCAGGGGCTGGCACTGCCCGCGTCGCAGCCGTTATGTCGCTCTCCTACAGCAGAGACCACCTTGCTCACAGCCGCCACTGCGTGGCCAGGGCGTGTTGACGTTACCACTGAAGTTCTCTCATTTCCTGACCCCCCAGGGTCACTTCTACCTCGCCCAGCTGCTCCTGCCCCACCTTGCACCAGACGGCCGCATTGTGGTGACCAGCAGGTGCGCGTGGCACTTGATGATGTACCGCGCACAATCCTTGCCAGAGAAAGCGTGCATTCATGCCATGCTGAAAGGTGGTTTTGTGTGTTGCTGCTCTACCTACACGGGACTTGTGATTTGACAACTGACGGCGCTTTGTGATGATGACGATGCTACCTCTCTATTCGCAACCCTGTTGCCGCCCAGTGGCACTCACGACCCGGCCGTCAAGGCTCCCCTGCCTGAGCCCAAGTACAACTCATTGGACGAGGTTGCCATGATCAAGTGCGGTCAGGACCGGTCGCGCTGGGCGCTAGACCTGCACTTTCAAGCCGCACGCAGAGCCAATGATGGCTGTTATGCACGCAGCTTGCGTTCCGCCTGGATCCTTACGTTTCTCTTGCACCATCAACCTTCTTGCTGGCCGCATCATTGCGCTTCCCCTCAGGTCTGACCTCAACGGCGTCCCCCCGGCGCAGTTCAACGGGTGAGTGGCGCCCACTTACTGAGCAAACGGAGGAAGCGCCGTGATGTTGCCGAGTGACCTTCGGAAGAAGAAGCTTGCCACTTGTTGTATGCACGACGGACTACGAAGGTCCTGCGCTTATGCCGAGGCATTGCCTGCAACCACTTCACCTCTGCAGCCGGCTGGCGTACACGCGGTCCAAGCTCTGCAACATCCTGTTCACGAACGAGCTCGCGCGCCGGCTGCAGCAGCAGGGCAGCGCCGTCACTGTCAACGCGTATGACCCGGTGAGAGTTGGCCCGCGCCAAAAGGGCACAGGGAAAGCATGGGGGGTGATGGCAAGCTCATGTGAGCGCAGTGCGGGGCTGTCAAGCATTGGCTGAAGTTTGAGCCATGTGCAGGTCATGCAGCATTGCTGCTGTGTTCATAGGGGCACCTGCAAAGTATGTGATCGCAAAGCCGTTTCTCTGCACCCACTCCTGGGTGCCACTGGAACGCCCATGCGAAAGCAACCCCCAGGCCCAGGGCATGTGGTCCTCACCTGCTTTTGCATCTAACCCCTGTTCCCCCCACTCTTTGATGGTCAGGGCTTCTGTCCCGACACGGAGCTGTCACGTGAGATGCCCTCTTTCCTGCTGCCAGTGTTCCGCACGCTGGTGCCCATCCTCATGTGGGTGACAGGCTCCCCGCAGCGGCCCAGGTGAGCTCGGCACAGTGTGCACCCCGTGCACGTTGGTGCCAGTAGTAGGAAGGGAGAGGCAGGTCCTGCTATTTGTGTAGCTGCTTCCACCCGGAGGCAGAAACGGCATGAACCCTGTCTGCTGCACACGGTGTTTGCAGCCTCGCTGCCCCCTGCACTTGCTGTGCTTGCATGGCCATATTACACCATGTTCTGCACAGCAGCCTCACTGCCAACCTTCGTCTCTCACTCGCCCACTCCTTCCTCCCCAGTACGTCCCCTGTGTCTGGTGCCTTCATGGGCCGCCTCGCCTACGACAAGGAGTTTGCCGGCGTCACAGGCAAGTGCTGGAAATTATTGTGTGCTTTTGTACACAGACTGAGCAGGGTGGTGACTTCTGCACATGCACACCAACCTAAAAGACAATCTGCAGCTGGCTGCTTTATCTGGGCTGCAATGCCTCATCCAGCCCCGCGCTTTGGCTGCAAGTACTATGATGCTCTGCACCGCCACGCTGCGTTCTCTGTGCTTCTCACTCTCCTTTGACCCCACAACCCCCTCAACCCATCTGGCCCCTGCTCTACCTGCGTCAATACCCAGGCAAGTACTTCAGCATCGACCACCTGGAGGCATCCTCACCCGCATCCATGGAGGTGGCCAGGCAGGCCGAGCTGTGGGAGTACAGCGAGAAGCTGCTGGCAAAGCTGACGGCTGCCACAGGTGGACTGGCGCAGCCCACACCTGCGACATGAGGAGAGTCACTGCGGGGTCGATGCAGGATACGCGAAATGACAAGAACACAAACGTCCGTAGCATTGCTTGTTGCTATCTTTGCCGTGAAGTCCATTGATCTGTGTCCCCCTGTACAGAAGCAACACAAATGTTTATCGCTAATGTTGTGGCTGGGGTTTATCTGTCTCTGTCTCCTTGCGGTAACTCAACGCGCCCATGACAACTTTCAAGCTAGAAGCGAGCGCCAACACAGCTTACAACAATGCTTGCACAAATGCATCGAGTGCACATGCCCAGTTTTAATGGCTGATGGCGGGTGGCTGCATGCATTTTGCCCATGCAATAGTTGTATATTTGCAGGAAACCCAAGCAGGATCAGTTCATCCATTGTCACAGAATTGCGTGTTGCAAGGCAAAGAAGGGCATGCCGTCTTCAGTTCAGCAGACACGTTGCATGCACATTGCCGTTAAATGTGTGCATGCAGTGTCATAGGCAAGCTGAAGCCAAGCATCATGCGTGATACAGGGCGTGACGGCTACTTGGGCCCTCTTCTGCTAGAAGCGCCGCGTGCCGTTCTGGGCGGGGGGACACTTGATGAAGTCACTGGGCCACTTGCCCTGGGGCCCACCCTTGGTGTTGACCACGTAGGCATTGAGGGCATCTAGCAGCGAGGTATCGCGCTTGTTGCTTGTTGTTGGGGTGCGTGCGACGTAGCCCAGGTGCTCTGGCACCTCAGTGCCGTCCGCCAGCATGAGGCAGTGCACCCAGGCAGCTGCCACCCGACCCTTCAGCTTGTTGGCCAGGGCCAAGGCACCCTCTGCACCCGTGGCGTACGCAAACACCGGCTCCTTGCTGCCCTTGAGCACTGTGCCCGCAGCCACGTCAGCGCCAGCCTTGTCTTCGCTGTTGGTGTAGTGCAGTGTTGCCGTGACACCCGCCGCCTTCAGGCGTGCCTTGAGGTCAGTCTCCGCAGTGGACCCGTTGGTCACCAGGATCACTCGGCCAGCCAGATCTTTCGGCCCGTTGATGACGACCTTGCGCGGCGCACCGCTTGCGGTGACGGACCGCACCGCCAGGGCGCGAGCGTCTGCGCGGTAATGCGTGGAGAATGACGCCCGGGTGCCAAGCTCAGTCACACGAGAAGGGGTGATGCTGATGCCCCCGGCGGCCAGGTCACAGTTGCCTAGCCCGGGCTGCAGCCAGATGCCCTTGAACGATGGCACCTCGACGACGGTGAGCGCCAGGTTGTGGGCCTTGGCAAACGAGGTGAGGTGCTGTACCTCCTCACCACCCCAGGTGCCATTGGGGAACAGGATTGCAGCGGGCGGAAATCCTGCATAGAGGCAGACCTTTGAAGGTGGTGATGTTGGCGGTGGTGAAGGTGGTGTTTGGTGGGCGCCAGATGGGGTGTGCACGAAGTGCCTCTGCAACACCTGTGCTTTCGCGGCTCTCAGGGTAGGCAACACAGTGTTCAGAGCGCAGCCTTAGGCTGGACGCCACGAGGCTTGCAGCAGGCCAGTGCAAGGACCTGCAGGCGTTAGCTCTACCTTAAGCTTCCCAGGCTCGAGGGTGGTCAAGCGGGGCTGGACCTTAGCAAGCAGCCAGCGCCTCGCGGACAGGAGTGCCGAACGGGGCAGGCTGGCACCGCGAGGAGTGCCGTTGGCGTGCGCCGATAGCGCCAGGAGGGGCAGCACCACCAGTATGGCTACCATGGCCCGTGACATGGCTGGGATTGCCATGATCAGCAAGCTTCGGTTCGTTGTGAAGAGGGGGGTGGCACCAGGGGAGGGGTGACCAGCGCTTTATGAGTGGTAGCACACGCCAACGACCGCGCCATCAGCGCGAGCTGGTGCGTAACACCGCCAAGCCTCGTATGTCAACCCCAGCATTCAAATGCACTAAGGCCGCACCCTCGTCCGTGCTCAGATCTCCGAGCTCGAAATAAGGTACTTGGCATGGGGCTGCCGGTTTGTAAATGCTAGAAGCACTGCTGGTGACGATGATTCGTAAATCGACACTCACAAGGCTTCAACTGGCATGTCACTCGGCTGTCCACAACAGTCCTGTCCAGCTGACGCAGGCTCATCGGTCACTCGCCGTTATGGGAGGTGATCCGTGCACATCGCATGACGGATGGTTGTGCTGACGCGTTGTATGCTTGCATGACCAGGCACATTTTCATGTCAAGGTATACAAATGGAATAAGTAATGAAATACATAGATGCACAAAGCTCTTGATGAATGTATTCTACTGTAGGCCGCGCCAACGGCTGGGTGGTGCTGAAACCTGGCTGGCCACGGGCCCAATGCCAAAAATCTAGGGGAATACTGACCTAGGCTGGTACTGTGAGCTCACAGATGCCATACAAAGGCACACGCTGGTTACACCGCCGTGCACGCTGCGTTGCACACACTGTCTCAACCGCCCGTGTCATTCTTGGGGCCGCTGGGCGCCCGCCTGTCTGCCACCTGCCCTCTACCCAGCACCATGCTCCATGAAGTAAAGGTGGTGCTGCTACCCCGCGGGGCGACCTGGGACTCCACCAAAACCCTGAAACCGTGGCGCTGGTACAGCGCCACCGCACCTGAGTCCTGGGTTGTCAGCATCACGCGGCTGCCCCGAGGCGCGTCCTCCAGCAGCCGGGTTATCAGGGCGCTGGCAATGCCCTGGCGCTGTGGGCGTCGTGTGGGTCAGAGGAGGAAAGGGGTGCACATGGTGTGGGCCGCGCCGCCATGGGACACACAGCTGCCTGCTGGTCGCGCTAGCTAAGTGGCAGTGGCAACACGTTTTCAACGAACCCAGGACGATTGGCTGTCATCAGTCACAGCTGCCATGCACAGACAGGGCCATTTCCCTGCGCCCTTTCTGCAACGTGCCTCCTGACGCCCTCACCCTGGACTCTGGCCGCACGGCGAGCATCGACAGGTGTGCAATGGCGCCGCCCTCGGAAGCTTCACCAGCGCCGAGCCGTTGGTCCAGGGCCAGAGCCCGCAGCATGCTGCCCCATCCCCACAGCAGCGGCCATGCCGCCATCCCGTGCCACAGGAAATCCAGCAGGCCAGGATACGTGCCAGGGAGTATGACGCCTCCCGCGCCGCATACCTCGCCGCTCGCCGGGTCGCGGGTCATGAAGAAGGGGTTGCCTGCTGCCAGCAGCGCCTGCAGCCGCCGCGCGAACAACCACTCCAATGCAGCTATGCGTTCACGCTTCTCTGAGGATTGGAAAATGCTGCCGTAGGCGGGGTTCGCGGCAAACACGTTTGCGTAAAGCGCCGCAACGCACGGCACATCTGCCGGCGCGACAGCTGTCAGCGTGTGCATCGCCGGCGCTCCCAGACCAGCTGGCATGGGCGCACGCAGTTGCTGATTATAGCACCAGTAAGCATGTAATACGCCCTTGCGCTTGGCGGCGTGAGCAACCTATTCAAAGTCTGCACACGTCGACCTGGTGCGCACACCTACAGGTGGCGGCAGGCTTGGTGGCGGTGGCCAGGCAGTGGCGTGACCGGGTGATTTGTTCGGGACGCAGATGCGGTAATTACAGTCCAAAAGATTTTAGATGCAGACGGCGCTTTGCGCCCTGCTCGTCAGTCGTGATCGTCTCTTGTTCGTAATCGCCCTGACTTCGTCCGCCAAAGTTCAAATGTGATCTGGCCAGCACACCGAAAAGAACATTATGTCAATCTGAACATCTCGCAAGACTTTCACTTTCGCAGTCAGGCCAGGCCCAGCCACCTGCATGAGCGCGGCCATGGGCGCCGCAGCGCCGCAGCAGGCGCAGCGTGTGCCAGCTCCAACGCCGCAGCCTATCCTGCAGCTGCCCGAGGCGGTGGTGCACCGAATTGCGGCGGGTGAAGTGATCCAGCGTCCTGCCAGCGCACTCAAGGAGATGCTGGAGAACAGGTGGGGCCCGGCAACAAGCACACCGTGCACCTGCTCAATCAGCTGCAGCCCCTTGCGTGCAGCCGTGCTTGTGCTCGGCCAACCCTGTATGTCTCAGCCTCGCCACCTTGAATGTTGCACACCTTCAGCTCAAAATTCCCCCTGCCCTCTCTCCTTACCAACCCTCTGCGTGACAGCATCGACGCCGGGGCGACGCGGATCGCCGTGACGGTCAAGGAGGGTGGGCTGCGCCTGCTGCAGGTCGCCGACGACGGCTGCGGCGTGGCGCGCGCCGACCTGCCGTTGCTGTGCGTTCGCCACGCGACCAGCAAGCTGCGCGCCTATGAGGACCTGGAGGCCATCGCCACGCTTGGGTTCAGGGGTGAGGCCCTCGCCAGCATATCATTCGTGGCGCACCTGAGCGCCACAACCATGACGCGTGGCGCAGCGCACGGCTGGCGCGCCTCCTACCAGGATGGCGCGCTGCTGGACCCCCCGGGCGCCAAGCCCTGTGCTGCCGTGCCCGGCACAGTGCTGACGGTGGAGGACCTCTTCTTCAACGTGCCGGCCAGGCGCAAGGCCTTCCGCGCCGGCGGCGCCGAGGAGGGCGCGCTGGTGCTGGACCTGATGCAGGTGGGGGTGCTGGCGCTGGTCTCTGACAGCGGCGAGGTTAGGGAAGGGGCGGGAACTGGTGATGTTTGTTGCATGCGGCTGCTGGCACACGGCAAGTGGTCAACATGGTGTGCGATGAGGCGCTCGAGGGATGCGCCACGTCACCTGGCCTCCGCTCCCTTCATGTGTGCATCATGGCGACACTCCCCGGTCCCCCGGGGCACTTGTGCCACGCACGCACCTCAATCACTCGCAGCGCTACGCCGTGTGGGCGGCCCCACGCGTTGGCTTCTCCCTGCGCCGCCAAGGCGAGGCACGCGCGGACCTGGCCACCTCTCCCGGCGCGTCGCGCCTGGACGTTATCCGCCAGCTGCACGGCCCAGACCTGGCCGGGTCGCTGCTGCCGCTTTCCGTGGCATGCGGCCAGGAACCGACAGCTGATCTCGCGCACGATGCGCCTGGCGGGCCCCACTTGCGCGTGGAAGGCTTTGCGTCGGGCCTGGCGTGGGCCGGGCGGCGTGGGACGCTCGTGCTGTTTATCAACGGGCGCTGCGTGGAGTGCGGACCGCTGAAGCGCGGTGCAGAGGCCGTCTACGCGACGCTCGTGCCACGCGCGCCCAAACCGTGGCTATTTCTTGATGTGCGGCTGCCGCCGCGGCAGGTTGAGGTCAACGTCCATCCCACCAAGCGGGAAGTCGGCTTCCTGCATCAGGTGGGGCCGGGGGCTGGGGGCCGGGGCAGAGCGGGGCAAAAGGGCGTGGTAGGGGGATGGCGGCTAGAAGGCGCACAGCGGATCAAGGATTTTGGGTGTAGGATTTCGGTCTCGTGAGTTTGGTGAGCTTGGATGCGGTGTGCTTAATTGGACAATCGCCCTGCTACATAGTGTTTGCTACACTCTCTGCCTGTTGCTGGTTTCGTCTTCTCCCGCCTGCCATTGCTTTAAGGCTCTTCCTGGCGGCTGCACAATCAACCATGTCCGTTGCATCTTTCCAGGACCTGGTGATCGATGCGATCTGTCGCCAGCTGGAGGCCACCCTGCTGGCCGCAATGAGCAGCCGTACCTTTGCCACGCATTCCACACCCGCCACCACGGCGCTGCGTCTCGCGGAGCAGCTGGTGAGTGGCGGCGGCAGCGGCAGTGGCAATGGCGGCAGCCGACAGAGTGCTCAGCAGACGCAAGGGCAGGCGAGCACGCAGCAGCAGCAGCAGCAGCAGCAGCAGCAAGCACAGCAGCAGATGCAGAAGCCGAAGCAGACTCAGCAGCAGACCATCTACAGGCCAGACAAGCTGGTGCGGGCAGACCACCGCACACGCACCATGGATGCCTTTGTGGTGCGCGGGGCGTCAGCGCCCGCGGTCAATGGAGGTTCGAAGACAGGCCAGCAAGGCGGCGGCGGCGGCGGCGGCGGTGAAGCCGACGTAGATGCTGTTGATGCAGAGGCGGATGCGAGTGCGGGGCTAGCAGGGCACACTGCATCTGCCGCTGCAAAAGCGGCTGTTGCTGTTGGCATGCCGCGCAAGCGGCGAGCCGCGGAGCGCGATCGGCTGGCCTTCAACAGCAGCATGGCAGCGGCAGTGGTGGGCAGTGGCGATGACGGGGAAGAGCGGCAGGACGGGGTTGATGGACACCCTGACGCTGCGGAGAATTCGACAGCTGGAGCACTTGTGCAGCAGGCGCAGCAGCTACTGCCGCCCAAAGCACGCGAGCAGGGCAACCCCCCGGGCCCGCCGCCTGTGGCCGCGGCGCGCGAGCTGCTTGCAGCGCGAGAGGCGGCCTCCCCCGCGGGTCTGACGGGCTTGGTGCGTCAGCACGTTTTCGTGGGGTTGGCTGACGAGGCTGGGGAGTGGGGCCTGCTGCAGTCTGGCACGCGGCTCTATCTCGCGGCCCTGGGTCCGCTGAGCCGGGACCTGTTCGAGCTGCAGGGACTGCGACGCTGGGGCCGCTGCCCCGCAGCAGCGCTGGCGGAGCCGCTGCCACTGGAGGGCCTGGCCGCGGCGGGGCTGGCACTGGAGGAGGCCGCTGGGAGGTGGCAGGTAAGGGTATGTTATCCATTTGTTGCCGGGGCGGGCCCCAAGCTCGAGTGGGTGAGGCCAGCCCCCCTGAATCTCAGCCCTCGCCGAGATCTTCCGCCCTTTCTTGTGCGCCCACCCTCGCAGCCCTCAGACGGTCCCATCCCCGAGCTGGCGCGCCTTGCGGCACAGGCCCTGTCCATGCGCGCCCCCGTCCTGGCCAGGCTAGGCGTGGTCGTCGATGACCAGGGGCGGCTGGCGACGCTGCCTGTGCTACTCAACGGCTACTCCCCCGACCCCTCGCGCCTGCCAGACTTGATACTGGCGCTGGTGAGAGACGTTCCCTGGGAGGAGGGTGAGGAGGCACGTGAGGTGGTGGAGGGCGTGGTGGCAGCGGTGGCGATGCTCTTCGCGCTGGCCCCGCTGGAGCGGGAAGTGGAGCGCGGTGCGAGCAGCGGCTATGGCGGAGACGGCGGGCAGTCGGCGGGTTTAGAGATGACGAGAGGGGCGGAGGCAATGCAGCTGGACGGTCCGGCGCGGGACGCCGGCCCTTGCCATGCGTCATTAGCGCCGCACCGCCGCCTGGCGGAGCGTGAATGGGTGGCACGGCACGTGGTGTTGCCGGCAATGAAGGCGCTGCTGCGGCCCAGGCCGTGCCGTGCCAATGACGGCAGCCTGCTGCTCCTGACCTCCATGGAGCGGCTATACCGCGTCTTTGAGCGGTGCGGTTGAGTGCCCGCCTCGAGCTCATGTCACATGCCATGCCCAGCAGGATGAGCCACCCAGCTTCTTTGCCATACTGCATGATCTCTCTGCAAAATTACGAGTCTTTGTTGATCATTTCAGGCACGGCAGCACTTTGTCCAAGGTGTGCTTCGCTGAACGATGGCGCTGCAAATTGCCGCTGCTTTTTGAATTTCCCCCCATAGTTCTGCAAAGTCAGACTTGCGTCGTCAGATATGTGTGATTGTTGTGAGCAACCAGCAGACAAAATTGGGATAGCTGTCGACAGAAGCACTCACAAGGTCTGCTACACTTTTATGAATTCAAATCAATAATTAAGAAGCACCACCCATTTGCAAGTCTTGCAGGGACGAGAGCCAGCTGTGCGGCATTCATTCTACTCCCCCTGCCCCCGTCGCCCAGCGGCCCCGAACCCAGCCCCCAAGGCTGCCAGCTCCACCGCCGCTAGATGGCCGTGCTTCACCCGGCCACGCCGCCTCAAGGACTGCCGCCTGCTGCAGCGCCCAGCAGCGCCGCAATGGCGACCCGCCTCCCTCGCTGCTGGCTGCCCCGCCGGCGGACTCGTGCGCTGTGGCGCCATACGGCGCGCCTCCACAGCTGCTGAGGACATAGTCAACTTGCTGGCTGCACACGCGCCACGCCCGGCGCTCTGCCTCTTCTTCCCACCGCTCGCGCAGCATAACCAGGGCCGCAGGGGGCAGAACGCTGTCAGGGTCAGGTGCGGGGCTGTCGTGTCCGCCGCCTACCGGCACCAGCCGCCCTGTCAGCGTGCCCAGAGGTTGCTGTGCATGGTGCGCCAGCTCCTCCTGCAGGCCCTCCAGCTCACAGCCCAGGTCCTGGCGTGGGGAGTGGGCAGGAGACGGGGGCCAACACCGTGTCAGGCCAGAAAATGGCAAACCAGGGCGTGTAGTGTTTGCGCATGTGCCCTAAAGTGAGGGGAGCGCCGCTGCAGCATTGATGGAGCCAGCAAGTCCCTTTCACGCGACAAAGACACACATAAACCACGTTTCTGCCTCTGTCCTGACTGCCTCTTAAGGGGCGGCGCCGGAGCAATCTTGCTTGCGCACCGCGGGGGCTTCTCCGTCCTCAAGCGACTGCGGCGGCGGCATCAAGCCGCCTGGAAGCGGCAGCGGCACTGGAAAGTGGGGACTGGCAGGCCCTGTCGACCGCCGTGTCGACATTCGCAGGCTGTCACAACCTCCCGCATTTCCTGCGGCGCTGCCGCTGCTCTGCCATGTCGCGCGGAGCTGCGCCACGCCGCCGCCACTCTGTCCTTGCAGTAGGGCCCCGTTGGACTCGTCACCAACATCGCCGACGCTGCACATGGGCAGCTCCTCCCCCTGCAGCATACCGCATTCGCTGTCCCCCTGGTGGCCAAACCCGCGCGCCAGGCGTTGCAGCCGCCACGACATGGCCATCAGCAGCTCGCCTCCGTCGGCAATCGAAGCTGCGTCCTGGTCCCAGCCCTCTCCCCCTGTGCTGGCGACATGGCCGGTCCCAACCGCGCTCACGCTGCCCCCGCCGTAAGACCAGGGCCGCTGCAGACGTCCGGGAGGCAGGCCGCCAGAGGCTAGCTGCGACGGCTGGCCAATGGCCGCCATAGTGCCAACCAGACGCGGTGGTGGCCTCTGGTGGTGCTGGCTCCGCTGCTGCCAGTAGCGCCTCTGCTGCTCCGTCACACTCTGCTGCGAATGGCGCTGCCACGTGTGTGCTCCATTTGGCAGCTCACCAGGATCAGGGCTCTGCCAGTTCTCCAGGTTCCACTGCTGCCGCTGCTGCTGAAGGTGCTGGTCCTCCTCCTGCAGCTGCCGCTGTCCTTCTTGCTGCAGCTGCCCCTGCTGAAGCCGCTCACCGCAATGGCGCTGCTCGCGCCTGCAGGCGTTCACACGCAGGTCCTCGCTGTGGTCCTCCCTCTGACCCTGCTCTTGTCCCTGCCACTTCTCAGGCCTGGGCAGTGTGGTTGTGCTGCTGGCTGGGTCCAGCAGGCCGACCAAGGTGTGCGGCCGCGGCAGGCTAGAGCGCAGCGCGTTCAGGGTGTCTGAACGCCTGTCACTGCCACCGCTAGCCTCTGTGCGCTGATTTGCTGCACTGAATTTTACATTGCCACTGAGCTGCGACAAGGCCACGCTTGCCATGTCTTTCTGGGTGCTGAGGCAGGCTCCAGCAAGCGGCACCGCCAGGCTGCTCGTGCTGTTTGCGGGTTCGCCCGTGGCCATTCTGCAGCGTGCCTCTGGCTCAAGCACATCCACAGCGCCGTCAATACCCTGCTGCTCAAGTACACCCAAGGGGGGGCATTTGCTGCCACAGCCGTCCCTGCTGCAGTTTCCGCTGCTGCCGTTGCCACCGCTCCCATCATCTCCGTCGGCAACCTCGTGGCTCCCATTGCTGAGCTCCTGCAGCAACCCTGTCACACGCGAATTGGCTTGCCGCACCTCTGACAAAGCCTCCGACAGGTCGCGGCCCTGGAAGGACGATGCGTGCGAAGACAAGTGGACACGGCCCAAGTCCTGTGCGGGCAGAAGGCCGAGCGCGTCAAGAGCCTGCTCAAGGGCTGCGCCGTCAGCGTGACTCTCGGCCTCTGCGCAGCGCAAAAAACCCGCTGTCTCCACGGCAGCTACCTCGGTCGTGCCACATGCTGCTGCCTCCGCCACGGCTGCTGGCTCACCACCGCCAGCGCTGTCTGGGCCCCACCCCGACAGGAACTCGCTGGTCTGCTGTTGCCATTGAGCGCGCTGCCGCGTTGGGCGCGCGCCGTCTGCCGCCTGGACCTGCTCAAACATGCGGTCCAAAGTGTCCTGCCCCGGCCGACACCCAGCAGCCAGCGGGGACCCCCGGTGGCCGAGCGGCCCCAGGCCGCTGGCCCCTGGCAACACCTGCTGCAGCACACGTGCCACCATGCCGTGCATGGGGCTGTCCCCAGTGTGACTGCCTGCTCGCTGCGGCGAACAGCCCGCCGCGACGCCCCTGCCAGTGTCGCTGTCACCCGGTGCGCTGCCCACTTCGGTCTGGAGGGGTGGCCTGGCGTCCACCATGTCTGCTGGCGAGCCAACCACAATCTCTACACGCCCGTAGAAGTGGTGGGCCACCTCGAGCCGTGCGTCCGGCTGCAGCGCCGCGGCCGCCTCCCCGCCGTACACCGCCATTGGCTGCAGGCGGTGCAGCCAAGGCGGAGGCGGGCCCGGCGACCACTCGGCCTGCGACCCCGCGTCGATGGAACGCCGCAGGCCTGGGAGTGGCGCTGGGTCCTGGTCCTGCTTGGCGCCCGGAGAGGCATCGACCTCCTCCGCCAGCTGCTGGCGCCGCGGCGGCGGCGAGGGCGGCGCGTACACCTGCACCCCGAAATCAAGCAGCTCCCCCTCGAAGGGCTTGGGGCGCTGGAAGTGGCGGCCGGAGCTGACGGTCGCAGGGGCCTTGAGCGGGGCGCGGCGGGCGCGACGGACCTTGTTGGGAGACCTGCCGCTTGCGGGTGAGCTGTGGGCTTCTGTGGCGCTGCTGCTTGGCGTCGCTAGGCACAGCACCGCTGTTCGCGCCTCAGATGCCGCGACCCTGACTGCCGCAATCTGGTCGGATCTGCAGCGCTCCAGCGCAGCCAAGAGCCGGGACCGCTGAGACGACAACGCCTCTGCTTCCCCGGAGCCTGCGGCAGGCCCCGTGCCGAGTGTTGTTGGCGCACTGGCACGCTCTGACGCCGCGGAGTCTGCGACGACAGTCATCACCAGCGCCGCCAGCGTCTGCAGCGACTCTCGGCGCACCTGTAGGGCGCGTGGTGCATGCACGAGGTGGGATGAGGCATGATGCAAAGCGCCCTTTACGCTACCCTTCAAGGAAAAGCTTGCAGCTGGTTTGAGTAGCCGGCCAGCCACGGATCGCCCGACCTCTCCACCCCACACCTGCCATGCCTCCTTGTCAGCAGCGCCCCTGCAGCAGATAGACGCTAGGCGCCGTGCACCCTCGGCGCCCAGCTGGCCGCCGCCCACCACCACCACCCAGGTCTTGAGCGGGGCGTACGCCGCCGCGACATGCCGCGCTGCGCTGCCGCCCCACATGTGCTCCAGCGCTGCTGCAAGGCCAGCCCGCAGGGCGACCGCGACAGACGGTGAGGTGCTGGCGACGGGCGCCAAGGCGGTCAGGACTGTGCCCAAAACTGCCGAGCCCGCCGCCACACGACTCATCTCCGGGTCGCGGTACGTGGTACGCACCAGCGGCTGCAGCAGCTCCTCAAACAGCCACCGCCCCTCCTCTGCAGGACCCGTGCCACACGTCTGGCGCTCGCCGTCCCGGCAGCCAACGAGGCGGTGTGTGGCTGCCGCCAGCAACGCCGCAAGAGCTTGGGCTACGCCTGCATCCCGCCTGTGTGCAGAGAGACACGCTAGTGCCTGCAGGGTTTGGAAGGAATGCGAGCGCGCGGATGACGTGCCGCGATACGGTGGGAGTGTGCGGGTCACGGCCGAGCCGCAGTGCGCATGCCTCGAGGGTGCCACCCCCGGGGGGGGACCCTGTCGTCAAACGCTTTGCATCTGAACCCACCTGCTTGACGGCAATGGGTAGCAGGTCGACCAGCTGGCTCCTCTCTATGCTGTCTATGAGGGGCGAAACCGCCAGCTGCAACCGCAGCTGTGCAGCGCGTTTGCCACATGTATCGATGCCTGTGCAGCATGTGGCGTGACGCAGCAGTGGTGCAACAGCAGACAGCCGCGGCAGCAGCAGCGGCGGGGGCAGCACCGGCAGCGGCGGGGGCAGCGCCGGCAGCGGCGGTGGCAGTTGCAGCGGCAACAACAAGCGCAGCAGCAGGAGCTTGAGCAGAGCACTGCCGGTCTCACCCGGCTTGCTCAAGGCATGAAGTTGCTCACATGGCATATATAACTTAAAACAGGTGCGTCAAATCCGACCTACCTCTAAGGACCTCAACCAGCGCCTGCCGCGCCTGCACTCGGTTGTTACTTGAACAGCAGTCTGCGAGGAGGTCGCGCGCCCCCACCAGCGCGCGCTCTGCAGCATCGCTGTTCTCGAAGCTGGACAGCAAGAAGTGTAGCCGCTGATTAAACTTCAAGGGAGACGCAGGGCTGCTTCGCATGATTGATGGTTCGGAGCCCGCGGCTGCCCATCAAAGTCAAAGCCGCTTGGCTCGATCTGCATCAACAGCAGGTGGTATTCAGAAACACGAAAAACTACATCGCTGCAAAATGTCGCAGTATTGTATCCAGACCGTAGCGGTGACCCATTCCCGTACAGTAGCAGCACCACCACGACTGTGGCGCGCCGCAGGCTGGGCCCTTCTCGTCCCCTGTATCATGCCTTACAGTAGTACTGGATCCTCTGTGGCAACACTGCGTGGTACTGGCCTGCTCTCATAAGCTAGGCCATTCAGAGTTTTGCAGTGACGGGTGAAACGGACTGGTCAGCTGGAACCGGACCTCCAGGCAATGAAGTTCGCTGCACCCTGACACAATACATGACGATACTTGTTGGTGGAGGATAACTCCAACCTAGTCGCCTGCCGTTCACAATGTCTGAACCTGCCCTGGCTAGTTGGTTGTTCGCTGGCTCCATCCTGGCAAGTGCTGCCACTTCTGGGCGGGGAGGTCAGGAAACAATCAAAGCAGCAAGCTCGTCCATCAATGGATGAACTGCGGAAGGAGGTCGGCGGGGCGACACGGTGCAGCTTTGTGGCGTTACGCACATGTGCAGGTTGACACACCCGTGGAGAATGCAGCTGGTGCAGCTGGAGGTTAGCCCAAACAGCCTCTACCATGCACGGCGCAGCCGTGCAGATGGATTGCCGGGCGTTTCACATGCAGTTGTATACACGACTCAGGTGTGTCATTTTGGATGGCATGCCAACGTTGTTCATGTTGCACGCCACCCCAGTGCGCACTGCAAATCCCTGGCCTGCCAGCGCGCTTGTATCGCAACAACCCATCACCTCACATGCGCAAGCGCTGTCGACCCGACTTGTATTGCCCCCTCACATGCCCTGCCCGCCATTCCCTCTGCGCGGCCGGCCGGCCCGCTGGCCGGGCGACCGCGTGTGGCCGCCAGTTGTGGTGCCGGATTTGAGGTACACGCGTAAGCAGCGAGTCAACCGGGAAGGCTGTGTGGGCTGTGAGTATCGCACGACGTCTGCCCCTTGCGGCCTTGTTTGCCGTTGTAAGTAGGTTGCTGAGTCCCCAGAAAGCCCACATCTGATGCAGTCGGGCAAAAGTGCCCCGCTTTGTGACCCTGCTGCAGAATCCCGATGACGCCGCCCAGGCATCTGATCTCACACGAAGCGCAGTGCTGATTGGGAAGTGCACAGCCACCTGGCTCTTTACTCGGGAGCATGATATCACCGTATTCTCGAAGTCTCACCCGCGCCGATGATGTCAATACTGTATAGTGAGCAAACGAGCAGTGCCGGCATTCGTCAGGCGATTCTGTAAAGGTTGGACAGAGTTGAAGCTCGTGCGTCTGCAGGTAGGACGCAAGGTTTGGTTCTTGCGCTGTTGTATCAGCGATGGCTGCGGCTCGGGCTGCGGTTGCAGCGGGCAGGTGGCCGCCCACAAGCGGAGCACGGACCCCACATTCCCTATACATGCCGTGGCTGCTGCGACGAATGGTCATGAAATTCTCTTAAGCATACGCAAGCAGTCAAATAACAGGGGCCCGATTCTCATGCTGCATGGCGGCGCGCCCGAGGCACGGTCGACCTCAGCACGCGCTCAGCAGGCGCAGCGCGAGGCCCCACCCTTGGCCGTGCACGCATCGCAGTTCTTCCGACCCTCCTGTGATGCTGTTGCCCAACACAGGCGACTCTGAGCTGACGTCAAACGATGAAGTTTGGGCGTGTTCTCCGCGACTCTGCCGATTGCTCCCCGGACCTGCCCGAGCTGAGGGCGCTGTTTGACGCCTACAAGCAGCTCAAGAAGCAGGTCAAGGCCATCCCTGTGGTTGGGGCCGCCTCAACCACGCTGGCCGCAGAACAGCTGGCATTCGGGGCGTCCTTGGGCGGTGTGGTGGCGCGTCTGAACGACATGTGGCTTGAAAAGGAGGAGACCAGCGTGATACGCGTCGAGGCGCTCGAGGCTGCGCTTGCGGGTGCGGGGCGTGACGTGGCGCGTCTGGACGCGCTGCGGCGTGAGCTGACCGATTTTCACGGGGAGGTGCTGCTGCTGGTGCACTGGAGCATCCTGGCCTACACCGCCACGGTCAAGCTGCTAAAGAAGCACCACAAGCGCACCGGCCTGCTGCTCAACGCGCCCCTCGGGAACCTGCTGTCACAGCCCTTTTGCTCAACAGAGGTGGGCGCAATGGGTGGGACAGAGGGAGTGACGTGTGGAGCCAAGGCGGCGCTTTGCATAGATGGTTGGCTGTGTGATGCAGCTCCATGGCTTGCGGACCTGCACTGAGGGGCCGCAACAACTGGGCCAGTAAAAACACAATATCATCCTCGCCCCCTCGGGCGAGCACACCACCGCCACAGCCCACTGTCGCCATCGCTGTGCTCACCTCACCTGCACCAGATGATGACGGATATTGCGCACCGCGTTGAAGCTGACATTGTTGCGCTGTGCCAACGCCTCCGAGCGTGCGGCAGAAGGAGCGCTGCTGTTGGGGCCCAAGGCGTCGGCGGCAGCGAAGATGCAGCTGTTGTCGGGGTGGGCTCAGCCGCCGGGCTGTGGCCTCTGGAGCTGAATGCCGCGCCGTTGGAGCCTTTGTGTGGACCAGCACCCCAGATGTCAATCAGCGGCCTCAACCTGTCGTCATGGCGAGCTGCTCCCACGGTCAGCGCCAGAACTCGTGAGGAGGCTGGTGCTGAGGGGGGGGCAGGTGACCAGCATGGCGCTGTTGGCGCTGTGGACGGCAGCAACGCTCGGGGTCGCGTGAGCGTGGCAGGGGGTGCAGCGGCTGCACGGCTGGTTGTGCACCACCAGGCATGGCAGAAGCAAGGGATGCTGGAAACACAAGGGCACTTCATAAGCCAGCAGGGTCAGACCCAGCAGCCGCAAGAGGAGGGTAGTGGCGGCGAGCTTGAGGCGCAGCAACCTCATCAACCACAGCGAGGTGCACCATTGCAGCAGCAGCAGCAGCAGCAGCAGCAGCGGCAGCAGCAGCAGCAGCAGCCGCTGCAGCAGCAGCAGCAGCAGCAGCAGCAGCAGCAGCAGCAGCAGCAGCAGCAGCAGCAGCCGCAGCAGCCGCAGCAGCAGCCGCAGCAGCAGCAGCCGCAGCCGCGGCCGCAGCAGCAACCCCAACGCTGCCATGCACAGGTGCTGCAGCGTGGCGCAGCAGCGGGGCTGTTCCTGGCGCCGCAAGGGTCATTCTCAAACAGGGGCCTTGACAGCGACGCAAAGGTTGCAGGGCCCGCGTCTGGTGCCTCGCTACGGCCGGCCAAGCGCTCGCGTTCGAGCGAAGATGGCCTCTGTGACGCTGAATTGTGGCTCAGCCACCAGGCGCCCGTTGAGTTGGAGGCAGGCGGGCCCCAGGTGGCCCTGCGGCAGCCGGCCCCTGGTGCCATTTTGCGGCAGGCCCAGGTGGCGCTGCGCACGTGGGAGCATCTTTTGACGTCAGCATCCACGCCATCCACTGTGATGGCGCACCCCACAGCAGCCAGCACGCCCACCAACACCACCCAGTCGTCTGCTGTGTGAGCCGCAGCTTTGAAGCCGTTTCTGCGAGGGTGAGCAGAAACAATGCGCGCAGCTCAGGTCAAGGCTAATTTGCCCGACACTGTGCAGAAAATTGCGCACAGCTCAGGTCAAGGCCGATTTGCCCGACAATGTCGTGCTATTACCCCTCGCAATCTGATCTTGGCGGCATGGTCTGTTGTGCATTCTTTCAGCGCCCCTCAAACTAGAAAGCGCAGTCAACACCATTTACAAGCACGTGGGCTCTGTTCTGCAATGGGTTTTCGTGTCGTGTTTCACCTCCATCAACAATTGCGGTGTGCACGAGCGCCATGGATCATGGCCGCTGCTGTTCTCATGCAGGTGCCTTGTTTTCAAGTTACCCTACACAGAGGATGATGCAAGTGATTACTGGTAATCACACCGCCAACAACAACCAGCCGGGCGGCACTCAATGTGGGCTGTTGTTGAAGAGAGCCTGGTGCTGCCGCCAGCATCTCAGCTGACTGCAACTCCCAACGTGCAGTTGCCCCATCACATAGACAGCAGTCATGATGGGGAAAAGAGTGTGATGGAGATACAAACAAGCTAATCATATGTTCGATGGCGCATGTCACAGCGCCCAGAGCTACGTGCATCCCACCCATAAAACGGCGGGGCCCCAAACCAACGGGCAACTCTGCCGCTCCACACGGCGTGTCACCTCCGCAGTCAGCGGGAGACCCCAGCGTGGCCTGCGTGGCTGAAGATCTTTTGCATGCATATCCAGAAGGCCGCAGCCAGCAGTACGGTTGTCACATATCGTACCTGGCGCAGCACGGGATCAGTGGGCGACCGCCATAGCGGCTCGTCTGTTGTTCACATGTGGGTTCAGGCGAGCTAGTTGTTCAGGTTCGTTCCTTTGGCAGCAAGACGGCTACGGCGCCGTTACGTTGAGCCCTGACAGTTAGGCACGCTGAAAAATCGAAAGGCAAGAGTGCAGCAACATGTTCCACGGCAAGGGTATGTGCTCGCATCATGCGCGTGGCGGCAGCGCGCCGGGACTCACCAGTGCATTGCGTAGCACACCCGCCGCCTCCGCGCGCACGGGCTGCCCCCGCCCCTTGCCCTGACTGTCGGCAATTTCTGTTGCCACGACCTCCCGATGCTGGTTCGCGCGCCGCCTATGCATACTCATGTCGGCGATCTCAGATCGCGCTGCAGATCGGATCTGCGAGGTTCTTTGTATAGCCGTGATGCTAATTGTCCAACAATATGTTCATCGTCCTGAAACAGCACTCCGCAGCACACACGCTACTCGCGGGGCCGCCGGCCACCTGCTCCTTACCGGGTGCCTGTCCCTTCCTCATTCTCTCATCTGCGCGTGCGTCTCACTCGCTCCACGACAGCGTTTGCCATCATCGTTGCATCAATATCTCAACAAGTACACGCATCTAATTCATACGTCAAGGAACGTTGATCAGGCAAACTGCACCAAGCGAGCCAGCCTCTGCGTCTGCGCCAGCTACCATCGAGCCGCCATGAAGATCATAGATAAGATCAACGAGAAGTTGGCTAAGGGAGAGAGGTTCTTCAGTTACGAGTTCTTCCCGCCCAGGACCGAAGAGGTGAGCGCACCCTCTCGCCGACGCCCATTGCCAGCCCAGCCGCGTGAGCACGGCGCTGGATGTGGAAGGACTTCATGCATGATGCACGCTTGAAGCTATGGTCGCCCTACAGAGCGCATATGTGAGAGGGCGCCGCGCTGCGTGATGGCACCGCGCGCCTGCACCGCACGTTATGCGTAGCTGGAACAGCGCTGTTCTTTCCCGCCGCAATCACTAGGGCGTCGAGAATCTGCTTGAGCGCCTGGACCGCATGGCGGCTTATGGGCCCACCTTTTGCGACATCACCTGGGGCGCCGGCGGTACCACTTCAGATGTCACGCTCGACATTGCCACCAAGATGCAGAACTCAGTGCGTCTCAAAATTTTGGGGCTGCATTGATAGGGGCGCATTTGCTGCGTCAACACACCAGCGATAGGCGGTTGCAGGGTCATGGCCACACAGGCGGCGGCGGCAACGCTATGATGCTGGCCCTATTAGTTGGTGAGTGGCGGTTGGCCATGCCTTGCCGCTCTTTACCCTTGCTTCTCTCACTTGCCTCAGGTGTGCGTCGAGACCATGATGCACCTGACGTGCACTAACATGCCGGTAGAGCAGCTGGAGAGTGCGCTCAAGGAGGTGCGGCGGCTGGAAGGGAACTCGCAGGGGTGGGCGGGTGGGTGGCAAGTTGATGGCGCTTGGCGTTCGCATCAACTGTGATGCTGGGATTGGCAGCTGCACGCTTTTCCACGAGCACCGCCCACCTTTCTTCCACCATTCTTCCTGCCATCCCCTCCACCCCTGCCGCAGGTGCGCAAGGCCGGGATTCAAAACATACTAGCGCTGCGCGGCGATCCCCCCAAGGGCCAGGATCACTTTGAAACGGTGGAGGGCGGCTTCAGCTGTGCGCTGGACCTGGTGCGCTACATCCGCAAGGAGCACGGGGATTTCTTTGGGATCGGCGTTGCAGGCTACCCTGAGGCCCATCCCGACAGCATCGTGGACGATCCCGAGCAGATGAAGGTGAGCAGTGCTGGATGTAGGTGCCTAGGTGGGGCAGGGTGCAAGCACAAGCTATTGCGGTGTGTTTGTGGATGGGAGGGGGCGCAGCCACGGCCGGAAAGATACGTTGCAGCGGCTGGGCAGCGGCTCGGTCAACATTGGAAGCATCAGCTGTGAATTGTACCCGTCGTCGAGCGGGCGTGGGAGGGTTGGCGGCGCCCTGCTTGCAGCTCCCCTGGCACAAAGCAAACAGGGCCCAGTCGGACCCCTTTTCTTCAGCCTTCAACGGTGGTGATAACGCTCCCCTCCCCAGGTCAACTATTGGGACAACATTGCGTACCTGAAGAAGAAGATTGAGGCAGGAGCGGACTTTGTGGTGACGCAGCTGTTCTATGAGGTGGAGCGCTACATACAGGTGTGGGTGTGTGCGTACGTGCGTATGTGTGTGTTGGGGGTATGGGTGTGGGTGGGAGTGTGCCAGAGTGTTTTGAGGGGAAAGAGGATCTGCCGGGGGCATGTAGACATTGACAACACGTGGTTGAGCTGCTTCCCATGATGACGCGGCAATCCTCTGCGGGAACGGGTCAGGACCATTTTGCCGGGTGATGATGGCAATCAGATGCTGCATTTTCCCCCTTGCTTCACCCTGTACCCCCATCACACCCTACATTGGTCCCTGTCCTGCCTGAACTCCCATTTGCTGCCTCGTACTGCCCTCTTCTTGCGCCCCCTCGCACAGTTTGTCAAGGACTGCCGCAGCGTGGGCATCACGGCCCCCATCCTGCCGGGGATCATGCCCATCATGGCCTACGGCGGCTTCAAGCGCATGACCGGCTTCTGCAAGACCGCCGTGCCCAAGTTTGTGTCTGACAGGATGGAGGAGATCAAGGAGGACGAGGAGGCCGTCAAGGCCTTTGGCATTCAGCTCGGCACGGACATGTGCAAGCAGCTGCTTGACGCTGGCGCTCCCGGTACGGGTTGTGCCAGGAGGATGTGGGCTGGTGTAGGCGGATGACGCGCTGCTGGCTCTGATGATGGGCGCCTGCCTCCCTGCCTCCAGACGAACAATGTGAGGCTCAGCCATGATGCTGAGGGCTGGCCCACCTTGCGTGAGGGCTTCGGCTGCCCCCAACCGCGCCCCCACCCCCCTCGGGCCCTCAGGCGTCCACATGTACACGCTGAACCTGGAGCGAAGCGCCATGGCCATCCTAGAGGGGGTGGGACTCATCGACCCCGCCAACGTGCCCAGGCCCCTGCCCTGGCGCCACATCCCCTCAAGCGGACAGCGCGCAGAGGAGGTACGTCACCTGCACGTGAACAATTGCTATTTTTTTTCGAGTCAACAATTTCTTGATTGTTTGAAGGCAACCACTTGTGGTGAAGCATGCCTCTGCTTCATTTGTGCTTCGTGCATTCCTCAATACTGGGTGCTGTCCCCCTTCCCCTTCGCAGCGCGTGCGACCCATCTTCTGGAGCAACCGTCCCAAGTCATATGTCACGCGCACAGCCAAGTGGCAGGAGTTTCCCAACGGTGAGTTCAAACGGCCTGCTGGGCACAAGCTGCAGTGGTGAGGGTGGTGCAGGCACAAGCGATGCAGCTCCTGTTGCTGCACACTACGCAACGCGCGGCCTTGTCATTGGCACCACCCCTCAACACCCTCCCCGCTGCCCTATGCGACATATGCACCCCAGGCCGCTGGGGCAACTCCCGCAGCCCTGCGTACGCCACTTTGAGCGAGCACCCCTTCATGCGGCGCCACACCAGCAACGACAAGCGTCGCGAGCGCGCCCGCGCTGCCTGGGGTGCTGCGCTGCCCAGCCTTGAGGCTGTGACGGATGTGTTTGTGCGCTACTGCCAGGGCGATGCCAAAGTGCTGCCCTGGGCTGAGATGGAGGACCTGCACCCGGAGACAGGGCCTATCAAGTGGGTGGGGCACCTGAAAGGACTGGGTGGGGGGCAAGGTGGGCACTTGTGCTCGCATGCCCGACGATGCCTTCCTCAGCCGCGTGATGAGCAAGGGCGGGGGATGAGCCAGGTTCTGTGGGCTTACGTCCCTTGGTCGCGTGCTGAGCCTGTCCTCCTTCCTCTCTTCCTGCCGCCCTTGGCAATCTCCTCCAGGGAGGGCCTGGTGGCGCTGAACCAGGCGGGGTACCTGACCATCAACAGCCAGCCGCGCGTCAACGGGGCGCCTTCCAACGACGCCACCTTTGGGTGGGGCCGTAAGGGGGGATACGTCTACCAGAAGGCCTATGGTGAGGGGGAGGTTTTGTGCTGTCAGTGCTTTCAATGTGGACTCAACCTGGCGCCTCGATGGCCTGCGTCCTGATGCAACCTTCACCTATCTTGGTATGAGGCACGTCAGCATTGATACGCGGGCTCCCCTGCATTACCAAACCCCCAGTTGAGTTCTTCTGCTCTCCAGACAAGCTGGAGTCTCTGCTGCAGCGGCTGAGTGGTGCTGAGGGCATCACCTACCTGGCAGTCAACGCAGCAGGGGAGCTACGCACCAACATGGCAAAGGGCACCGTCAACGCCGTCACATGGGGCGTTTTCCCAGGTCAGATGGGTTGAAGGAAACAGTATTGGGCGCTGCTGCTGCTGCTGCTGCCTTGCTGGCCTTCGTGTGACCCGGAGTGGCTGCAGCACTGTCAAGCCGCAACCACCCGCAGCACTCAATTTGCTTGAAGCCAGGCCGGTTAGTGGCAGTCCTACCCGCCTGCTGCGCGGCTGCAGGCCCTCATCTGCCCTCTGTGCTCCTCCTCCCGCCCACATCAGGCTCTGAGGTGGAGCAGCCCACAGTGGTGGATCCCGTGAGCTTTGAGGTTTGGAAGGATGAGGCTTTTGGCCTGTGGCTGAGTGAGTGGGGTGCGCTGTACGAGGAGGCCAGCCCCAGCCGGCAGCTGCTGCAGACCATCCACGACACCTGGTGGCTGGTCAGCGTGGTCGACAACGACTACGTCACGGGCGACCTCTTCAAGGCACTTGGGGTGTGAAACGACCACTTGACGGGGGGCCATAGCGCACCCCGCGGGGGCATAGCGCAGGTCAGCAGCGGCAGGGAGTTGAGAGAGCATGGGGGGATGCCACTACGCGCCTTGCGTTGTAGGGCCCCACTGCGCCTGGTATTGCTGTGCGGTAACGGGCTGCAGTATTGGATCCTGTCTGCGTCTCAGTCATAGGACCCTTGCTGTGTTCCCTGCCCTGCCCCTTGCTCTCTCTTTCTTTTATTTGATAGACTACGCACTATGTTTTGTTTGCGTTTCCAAATCTGCAATCACCCACTTGCACCCTTGTTTGAGACGCTGGCTGCTTGTAAAAGCTGGCTTGAGAAGGGACAAACAACAGCCGGCGGATCAGACATGCTCATCCTGCTGGCAAAACATTCTCCCAAACAGGCTCGTATATGTGGGGTGTAAGATGTGCTGGCAGCAGCCACATCTTGACCCGCATGTCTGTTGAGCCAAGGAAAACCAAGCAAAGCCAGGGCAAGGCTGCACTTTACTCTCGCGTGAATTTCTTCTCGCTCTTTTCATGTTTATTTATTCTGGAAAGAGCGCAGAGATTTTGTGCCGTAGAGAGTGTTTCACGCTCACACACCTTTGATCAGCTTCAAACCCCCTCTGCTCAATTGACATGCCCAAGCCGCTGCACAGTTCATAAACAAAGTCAAGCACCTGGCTGCAGTAACAAAGCACCCTCACCAACCCATTAACGCCTGGCTGTCCCCTCCGCACACGCACAAACACGCACGCACGCGCGCGCACACACACACACACACACACACACACACACACACACACACATGCACATGCACACAAAAGCACGCATGTGCGCACACACACATTGCATGAAAATGCGTTGTAGGGTGGGTGCGACGCAATTCAACAACCAGCCTTGCGCGATGGGGAGTCGGTATGCACCTGATTGCGTCAGCAGCAAGAGGAACTGTTTACATGTACTCAAAATTGTTAGATGAAAGAGGTCAAGCGGACTTTGGCAGCAGCTCACACTGCGCGTAGTGCTGCAGCAGCTGGTCAGCCAGCACCAGCGCCACCATGGACTCGACCATCGGAACTGCACGCGGCACGACGCAGGGATCGTGGCGTCCGCGCGCGCGCAGCTCAGTCTCCTGGCCGTCACGCGTGACCGTGTTTTGCGGCCGGCTGATGGTGGACGTGGGCTTGAAGGCGAGGCGAATCACAATGTCCTCGCCGTTGCTGATGCCACCTTGCACGCCGCCGCTGCGGTTGGTGCGCGTGCGCACCGCACCGCTGCCGTCGATGTAAAACTCATCGTTGTGCTCACTGCCCAGCTGCTCGCTGCCGGCAAAGCCGCTGCCAATCTCAAATCCCTTGGTGGCGGGCAGGCTCATCAGCGCCTTGGCCAGCTCCGCCTCCAGCTTGTCAAACACGGGCGAGCCCAGCCCTTTGGGGCAGCGTCGCACGACGCACGTCACCACGCCGCCGCACGAGTCTCCGCGGTTGCGCACCTCATTGATTGCTGCGCAGGCATGTGTAAGAGAGCAGATTCTCGTTTAAATAATTGAACAACACTACAGCGGTTGCGGCAGGTAGGGCGCACAGCCCCTACATCCTGAGCTGCAACAAGCAGCCACGCCGTGCCAAAGCCGCAGGAAAGATGCTTTGCTCTCGTCGACCTCGTGGGCCACCATGTGCACAGCAGTGCTGCCGGTGAGTGGCCACTTGGCCAAAAGCTGGCACCACATTGATCCCCGACCATGACGTCCTCCGGCACCCCTGCCCTGCGGCTCCCACCATCAATCATCTTCTGCGCCGCGTCCTGGTCTGGGCAGCGTACGATGTTGCTCTCAACATCCGCCATGGTGAAGGAGCTGTTGTCCACGTTGCAGCCGACCTCACGGACCTGGCTCACGTATGCCAGCACCTGCGGGGCAGAGCAGCCAGGGTGTGGTGGGCGGGAAGGGGGGGAGCGTGTTGCAAATGCAGCATGTGACGCGACCCACACACAATGGCTGAGGTGAGAGGGGAACACACAAGCCCCCTGGCAAACGCTCCAGCTGTGTGTCCTCCCAAAACGGTAGGGGCGGAGAATAGTGCAGGCAGTGAATAGTGCAGGCCCATTGCAGCCACAGCACTGGCCGCCATACGGTAGAGCCCTCGCACCCCAACCCTGGCAGCTGACTTTGGATACCCCCGTCTACCACCGCCCGCACCTCGGTGCCGCCGACCACGTGCAGCAGCTTCTTGGCGATGGCGCCAGCCGCGACCCGCCCAATGGTCTCGCGTGCTGAGGAGCGGCCGCCGCCGGCGATGGCGCGGATGCCGTACTTAAAGTCGTAGGTGGCGTCAGCGTGAGAGGGGCGGTACGCGACGCTCATCTCCGAGTAGTCATTGCTGCGCTGGTCTTTGTTGCGCACAAGCACTGCAATGGGCGTGCCGAGGGTGACGCCGTCAAAGACTCCTGACAGGATCTCGCAGGTGTCCTCCTCCTTGCGCGGCGTGGTGATGATGCTCTGCCCGGGGCGCCGCCTGTCCAGCTCCAGCTGGATCTCCTCAGTCGTAATAGCCAGCCGCGGGGGCACGCCGTCCACTACACAGCCCACACCCTTGCCATGAGACTCGCCAAATGTGGTCACACGGAACGCATTGCCGTACGTGCTGCCAGCGGCGCGCACCACCACCACAGCGTGCCGTCCGCCACACCCTGCACGCCGCTGCGGCGGCCGTGCTGCCCGTTGACGCGCTTGCTGCATGGGAGCAGTCTGCATGGTTTCCGACCAACGAATTAGACCTCGGTGTTGCCTAAAATTGCTTTGGGCTGGAGCTCAGCAGCAGCGGCCAGTGGCTCGTCGAGACTGTGGTGGCTATCGAGCAAGCCGGATTGTACGCAATAAACACTTGCCAAATGGACCTAATTGCAGTGTAGTTTTATTGACACCGATATCGTGACTGGCACTGCTTAGAAACAATCACAAAGTGATCTGCATTAGCAGCGTGCCACCCGATCGGAGACTTCCGCACGCAGCATGGCGACCACGGGCGAGGGCGACGTGGCGCTGAGCATCGAGGAGACCAACAAGCTGCGGGCCTCCCTGGGCCTGAAGCCGCTGTCACTCGAGCCGCCCAAGCAGCAGCAGCGCGCCGAGCGCAAGGCGCCCGCCGAGGAGCTCAAGCCCGACGCCGATGCCATCCGCGCAAAGCTGGCAGAGTGAGAAGCCAAATGCGGGGCCAGGCGCGGCGAGGGCTGGGCATAGGTGCCCTGTCAAGGCGGGAGCAGGGTCAGCAATACTTGCCATCGCACTAATGCATGGCTGCTGCCGCTGCTGCTGCTGCTGCCGCCGCCGCCGCCGCTGCTGCTGCTGCTGCTGCTGCTGCTGCTGCTGCTGCTGCTGCTGCTGCTGCTGCCGCTGCTGCTGCCGCTGCTGTGCCAGCACGTCACCGGCCTTGTGCGACCTAGAAGTGCTTCTTTTGGTCAGTGAACCCCCCGTATGTCGTTATGTACCAGGGCACGGGACAAGCGACGGCGAGAGCAGGAGCTGCAGCAGACACGCGGCCTGGGAGAGGCAGGCGGAGACGCGGACGACGCTGCTACATGGGTAGTCAAGATGCGCCAGCAGCCGCAGCAGCCACCAGCAAAGCGTCAGCAGCGCGAGGTGGGCGGAGATAGGCGTGGCCGGCAGCGGCGGAGTGGCGATGGTGGCGGCGGCGACGACGAGGAACGGGACGCCAGTGCCAGCGCCGCGGAGCTTGCAGGCGCTCGCGTGCGCCACGACGCCGACGAGCTGGCTGAGGGCGAGACCATGGTGCTGACGCTGGCCGATGCGCCGATCCTGGACGCAGCGGGCGGCCTGAACGACGCCGGTGACGAGCTGGAGGAGGTTGCGCGTGCGCAGGACAAGGCGCGCGCTAAGGCGCGCCGCGCGGCCGGCAAGGAGGCCAAGCCGCTGTGGGCCGAGGACGGCAACGTGCGTTCCCTCCTGGACAAGTACGACGAGGAGGACGAGGAGGCGGGCTTTGTGCTGGACGCGGCTGGGGCAGCCGCTGCAGCGGCTGCACGCCAGGACAAAGTCCGAGAGCGCCTGGCAGCCGCGGCGGCGGCGTTAGACGCTGTTGCGGCCCCTGCGATGGGCGGGGCCGTGGACTACATGACCGCCGAGGAGGCCGCGGCATCGGCGGGCGGCGGGCTGAAGAAAAAGAAGAAAAAGCGGAAGCTGCGCACTACACGTGCTGCCGCTGACGAGGACACGGCAGACGGCGGCGGCAGTGCTGGTGGCGGCGAGGGCGGCCTTGACCTGGATGCGCTGGAGGCGGCCGCCAAGGCGGAGGGCGGTGGAGACCTGGGGTCACGCGAGGCGCGGCAGCAGCGCCGCGAGGCGCTGGAGGCGGCTGCGGCGGCGGATGCAGCTGATCGCGCCGCGCGCTTCCAACGTGCTGTGGAGAGGACCAACTGGGCATCAGAAGCGCTGCGTGCGCCTGGCCCTGTGGGTGACGAGGAGGACGAGGCGGAGGCGGAGCTGGCTGAGAGCCTCAGCCGCGTGCGAAGGCTGGCGCAGCGCAGCAGCAGCACAGCAGTGCCTGGCGGCGACAGCAACGGCAGTGGCAGGCCGGCGCCTGAGTCTGTTGAGGAGATTGCTCAGCGGCTGGGCAAGAAGCGTGCTGAGGATGAGGAGCGACTGAGGGACGAACTTGCAGCGGGAGGTGGGTGGTCAGGGTGCAGAACATGGGATGCAGGCGTAAGCGCATGGCGTGCAATGCTTTTGGTGAAAGGGCTCGACACAAGTGGAGCAGGGATCACAAACAGCGGCAGCTCAGGCGGCAGCATGGTCGCCTGCATCCCCCTGCACCGCCATGATGCCAGCCAGCTGCATTGAGCAACAGTGCGTCCAGCATGCATTTACTCAGTGACCAATGTTCGGCGTATCCGCACGCTCTGGCCAACTTGTGCTGCTCCCACCAGAAGCTTGCTCTGCCCTGCTACACCTGCTCTTTCCTGCTGCCTCCCTGCTGCCCTCATATCCTCTTTCCCCAGGTTCGGACCTGTTCAGCGCCGCTACAGAGTTTGTTCGCAACATCGGCGGCGCGGGCGATGACAACGAGGGCGAGCAGCAGCGTGGCGGCGGGGGCGGGGGTGGTGGCGACGCGCCCTACATGGACGTGGAGATGGAGGAGGCGGGCCAGGGCAGGGGCCAAGGGCAGACAGAGGAGGAAGCACAGCAGAATGGGAACGCCGGCGACGCTGGGGGGGACGGCACCACCAGCACCGGCGCCGGCATAGGTGCCGCCACTGCCAAGGGGCGCAACTACCGCAAGCGCAGCGGCTGGGTGTCTGCAGAGGATGAAGACGCGCAGCAGGCGGGCGGCGAGCAGCACCAGCAGCAGCAGCAGCAGCAGCAGCTGCTTCACAAGCAGCAGGGGCGTTCAGCAGAGGTGAGGAGCTGCAGTTTAGGGTGCGGGTAGCGCTCGCACGTGCAGCCTCTTGCCTGCGCCGAGGCGTTGCGAGGGGCCCAACTGCGGGTCCTTGGTGTCCGATTTCGAGATGCAGGGTACTCTCTTTTGCACAACCCCACCCCTCCCACTTCCTACCCCGACTGCTCCCCTTGAAAAACTCCCTTGCTTGTCTCTCCTCACAATCGCTCATCTCAGACCACCAGCGGCGTGTCTGCCGTGGCAGGCGAACGTGTTATTGGCCGCGGCCTTGCTGGGGCGCTGGGCATGCTGCAAGACACTGGGGCTCTCAAAGGCCCCGCGGACTGGGCGGGGCGCACCAATGAGAAGAAGGCCGTGGCGCTGATAGGGCTGGAGGATGTGTACACGGGCGGCAAACATGAGGACCGCATGGCGCGCAGCATAGAGGCAGCGTTGACCCAGCGCGACGAGTTTGGCCGTGTGATGACGCCCAAGGAGCGCTTCCGCAAGCTGTGCCACCAGTTCCACGGCATCGCGCCGTCCAAGAATACCGAGGCGCACCGGCAGCGCAAGTACCTGGAGGACGTCGCCATCAAGCGCGCCACCACCAGCGCAGACCCCAGCGCGGAGCTCGACCGCATACGCGTGCTGACGCAGCAGCTGGGCACGCCCTACCTCCCGCTGGACGGCAAGGCTGCGCTGCCAGGCCGTGGCGGCGACGATGATGACGGGCCTGCACTGCCCGTCGCTCGCGGGGCCAAGGGGGGCGGCAAGCCCCAGCTGGGAGGCGGCCTAACGCCGCTGGTCGGCGACAGGAAGGTGGAGGCGATGCTGGGCCTGAAGAAACCACCTCAGCCAGCGGGCGGGCGCGGCGGCGCCGCCGGCGGTGGTGGCGCCACAGGTGGACGCGGCAGTGGCGGCATGCCCCCCCCAAGGGCCAGAGGCAAGCCGTAGTGTGTATGAAGCTGTCAAGCCCGCCTTATGACCTTGTACCAAGTTGCTTTGATCGTTTTGGCGTTGTTTTTGGCAGGCTGGTCTGTGTTTCACACAGCTTTTGCAACGCTGGCAAGTAACAATCTTGTTCAAAATCTGTCCTGAGTATGGGAACAATGACATGTTTAGGGTATGCACAAATAAGCATTGCTTACAGCGAAAGCAAAAGCTTGCCGCAGCGGCCGCCATTAACGGCTACAATCTTCCAGCGTAACCCAGGCTCCTGCTGCCCTGCCTGCCTGCGCATGGCGCTGGCCGCCGCTGGTGCGTCAGACCTTCATGAGCTCCTCGCTCTTGGTCTTGATGAGGTCGTCCACGGCCTTGACGTACCTGTCGGTGATCTTCTGGATGCTGTCCTCCAGGTCCTTGCGCGAGTCCTTTGGGAAGTCGTGCTTGTCCAGACGCTTCATCGCATCCTTGCGCACGTTGCGCACCGCCACCTTGCCGTCCTCACCCATTTTGGAGACCTTCTTGGACAACTCCTTGCGGCGGTCCTGGGTTTGGCAAGCACGTGCAGGGCTTATGCAAAAACGGCTCAGTGATGCTGGGGTGATGGTGATGGTAGCAAAACTGGGCACGCGCGGGATCACATGGGCACGTGCGTGCGGGATGAGCGCATGTCTGTGCGTCAGGAGCGTGTTTGTGTGAGAGCACACTGTGTATGCACATATGTGTGTGCCGGGCCTACCCATGCACATGCACACGCATCTGCACATCCGGACAGTCCTAGATTGCAGGTCGGCTAGCTGACAGGGCCCCAGGATGCAAAAATGGTGAAATGTTGCTGCGACTGCAGTCCCGGCAACCTCCATCCTGCGACCTCAATATTTGTTGCCCCGTCCCGCAGCCTACCTGTGTCATGGGGGGTATGTTGAGGCGGATCTTCTCCCCGTCGTTGTTGGGGTTGATGCCGATGTCACTCTCCAGAATCGCCTTCTCAACATCGCGCAGGCCGCTGCGGTCAAAGGGAGACACGATCAGGGTGCTGGCATCAGGCACCGCTACTGAAGCCAGGGACTTGAGGGGCGTGGGCACGCCATAGTAGTCCACCTGGCATGGCATACATGAGCGCGGGGCGCAGGAGAAGGCAGCGACGCTCGTCTTACGTTGCTGCAGCAACAAGGCACACGGCCCTGCATGGCCTCCCACATGGCAGACGTCTTGGTCGGGGCAGTAGACCGGGCACCAAAAAAAGCGTCATCATTTTGCTGCCTGTTGCTCCCTGCCCCTGCAAGAACACAGCAGCCACCCCAACCGGTATTTCGGCCCAGCTGAGGTAAGCCCCGCCTCGCCCAGCCCCCACCCCTGCCCTGCACATCGCGCTGCATCCCCACCCCTGACACCCACCATGATTTTGTCGAGGATCGCGGGGTTGGCACGACCCGTGCGCATGGTGTTGAAGTTCTCCACCACAACGTTGATGGCCTTCTTCATCCGATCCTCCTGGTGGCGCATGCAGGCACGGGGCACACTAACGGGCAGCTCGCGGCGCTGGTGTATAGGTGCAGCAGCAGCACCACAGTTGCTGATCGCAGCATGCAAGCTACTCTGTGCAAAACTGATTGCCATCCTAAGGCAACTCAAGCGTCTTGCTGCGACTGGCTGAACGACCAGGTTGTGTGTGCTGAACAAGCACTGGCTCCTTTGCCCAGTGTGACCAGCTGGTTGTCTGATGCACGCGTAGCATGCATGCCCTCCACCCCGTTGACACTTAGAAGTGGTACTTACAGCATCACTCTCTACCTCCAGAGCCACCATGTCCAAGTCCTCGTCGCCCGAGGAGCTTGCGGCGGATGACGCCTGCTCCTTCTGCTTCTTCGCGCGTGTGACGACAAGCCGCTCCTGCTGCCGCTGCTGCGCTGCCCCTGACCTGCGAAGCACGACGCGGGCCAGCCAGAGGTAATCAATATCGTCTGACAACGCATCGCGCTCCAAATGGATTCTCGTGGCCACTCGCACACACCTGCACGGCTGCTGCGCCTGCTGCACCGGCGACGAAACTGTTGTGCACGGCCTGGCAGCAACTAGAGCTGCCAAATTTGGGATCCGGGATACTTGCTGCGCATGGCCGGCTGCTGCGAAAGCACGGTGGCGAAGCATCGTGCCGACAAGGAGCCTGGTCGAGTCAATCCAGAGGCTTGCTTGTGTGAATATTAGTGTGCGTCTGCACAAATAGGTGGGTTTCATGTAATCTCTTCGCCAGGTGTGGTGCCGCACGCCGCCTTGTCCTCCCAGCACCGACTGATCGGCGCCAGGTTGAAGCGCGCAGAGCACGCGGCTGCCGCCTACACGCAATCTCCAATTATATACTATCAAGGGGTTCCAGTGAACAGGGTACGGGCGGGGATATCCCATTCGCTTTGAGCACACGGCTGCTTGCCAAATCTGCTGTGCGCGGTGTCGACAGTGCAGTACGGTGGTGACTACTCTAGACGCCCCACCGTAATCGATCCTTGTCACTGCATGCATGCTACAACAGATTTTGTCTTTACACTGTGAATTATTTTTCTGGGATGACTGGGGTAGCTATGGGCAACCTGGGTGTGTTTGTGCTCGCATTCCAGTGGTGATGTGTGCGAGTAGGCCTACTGCGTGGTGTCACGTAGAGCAATACAAGGCCACAAACGAGCATGTGTGTATGATACTGCTGAAGGCAGCTCTCAAGTAACTAATCATTGAGACCCAGTCTTTCTTTTGTGGGTTTGGCTCGTTCATTGCTGCGGCCACGCAGCTACTGCGCAGTCAGGCATCTAGCCAGCTACGACAAGTGCACTGGCCCAGTAAACGCTGGCGAAATGCCCAAGTGCACCTGTATCAGCTGGCTGATACGGTGATTAGCGGGCAAAGTAACAGGGGCGCCACAGTCGGATGTGAGGGCCAGCGAATGCAGTGGCACATAGTCCACAAACTCACGCACTGCTTGTCTCGACCCAAGACCGGCCCCTCAGCACGTTCCTGCAACCCACACGCAGTGCTTACGTTCCTTACCGCTGTGACGTGGATGAGTGAAGAGTAAGCATCTGGTGATGCAGCTGCGGTTGCCTTGCAGTCCTCACCTCGACCTGGTCACCCGCTTTGCTGCCTCCCCCTCGCAGCACCACACGAGAGCAACATGGAGAGTTCTGTACTTCGATTAGCTATCCTGGATCAAATCCTCATAACGCGCCCCCAGCACCTGGATTCAGCTTTTGCATCGAGGCGTCCCAGCCTTCAATCACCCGTAGATCACCCGGCTGCACAGGCAAAGGCTAGAGTAGAAATCAACTACAAAAATAGATATGCATGCCAACCTCACGTCTCCCGCAGCCCGTGCGCGGCTGGTGGGGAGGAGGTGTGTTCCTCGGAACCCCTCGCATACAGTCCCCGCACCGGCCTGCCGAGGCGCCTGGAGTGTTGTACGCAATAACTACCGCGTTTTCAGCCGGTTGTCGGCCAGGTGAGCGCGGCTTTGAGTCGCGTTGAACGCCTAGCGTCGTGCGCTCCACTGACACTGCGGGCGCTTGCGGACGTGGCGCGTGGCAATGACGGCCCAAGCAGCGCAACCGGGCGTGTGTGGCTGCGGTAGGGGCTATCCCGCGAGGTTGTTTGCATTTTGCTCCTCTTGCAGTTTGTTCCTCTTGGCAAACGTCCGACTGGGCATGGCGCAGGGCCGGCGGTGACGATGGTGCGGCATCGGTGATTCCCGACGCGCTGCCAGTCGCGGGGCCAGACATGGACTGGCGTGCTTACAGGGCGAGGCTGGCGGCTATGGAGGCGGCGTCTGGCAGCAGCGGCCCCCCGCCTGCCTTCAAGGACAGCAAGTGGGCGCATGCGGTGCCGGTGCCGGAGGCTGGCTGTGTACTGCTTGCTCACCCCTCCATGTTCGGGGTGAGTTGTGGCGAAAGGGGTGGACACTCAGCACCGAGCTTTGACCAGCTTGATGGCGGACGAGAGCTGGCAATGGTGCAGCTCAAAACGGGCTGCTTGCAAAGCCACTGACCTGGCCCAGCTGCCCTTGAGCCTGCGCTCAATTGCTAATGCCTCTAGTCAGCAGAGATGGCGTCCCCTGGGTTGCTCGCCGACGATAATCGCCTCTTGATTTCACGGCCCATCCTGAGCAGGTGAACCAGCAGTATTTCAGGCTGGCGGCCATCCTGATCCTGGAGTGCACAGAGCAGGGCTCGCTCGGCATCATCCTCAATCGCCCAACGGAGCACAGCCTGCAGGACGTGCGCTTCACTGTGGGCGAGGCCATGGACGCCTTTGCCTCCAACAAGCTCTACATGGGCGGCGATGTGGGGGAGAGCAACGTCATTGTGGTCACCACCAGTGATGCTGTGGAGGGCGCGACTCAGATTGCCGCTGGCATTCGGGTGGCCACCGTGACGGCAGCGGCAGCCGCTGTCAAGGCTGGTCGCGCGCAGCCCGACGATTTCCGATTTTACGCCCAGTACAGCGGCTGGGGTCCAGGCCAGCTGCAGCGCGAGTGCAAGGCAGGGGTGTGGTGAGTGGGCAGTGAATGGAATGCCAAAAAACTGGGGAATCCGTGGCCGCCACATGCGCTACGCGCCTGCATCCCCTTGGCACTCTGGCGCTGCGGCAGCTCCCTTGCGCAACACGCACGCTCAGATTCCGCTGCCGTGATTGCCTGACGCCCGGCCTGCAGGTTTGTGGCAGCCGTGAGCAGCCCATTGGCGCTGGATGAGCAGCTGGCCAAGGGGCCTGAGCTGTGGCACGAAATTCTGAAAACCATGGGTGGTGAGATTGGCTGACCGCTCTTGCTGTGTAGGTTTTCATTGATGCACCATGCATCGTGTCTTCAGCTGGGGGGTGAGATTGGCTGACCGCTCTTGCTGTGTAGGTTTGCATTAATGCACCGTGCATCGTGTCCTTCTGCCTCGGCGACCTGCCTGAGCAAATGCGTCTGCACCGATAAATTGACGTGTATCCCCCTAGGTCCCTACTCTGAGCTGTCCGAGCTGGTGCGGGAGAGCGAGGCGGCGGCGCGGTCCCAGGAGCAGCTGCCAGGAGAGGGAGCCTAGGGCATGGCCTGCGACCAGCCAAGCGTAGCGAGAACGTACGCGCTTTCTTGCAGCCATTCAAGAGGCACCGACAGGTACACCCACAGTAGTTTTGAACACGTGTTTGCCCCTGTATAAATGTGAGTCACCCGTGCAGACATCTGACAGAGATCAGATGCAAGTATGCACGCCCCACGCTGCACCAACATACTGGCGCGCCTGGAGTTATCAATATCCGGCACCGTTGCAAGAGCAGCAAGTGTGAGAAAATTATGGCTGTTTGGAGATTGCAAGGCGCTCATCAGCCAAGCCGCAGCAGGTTGCACCAGCAAACCACTGCAACTGATTGATCGAATGAGCGCCAGCAGGCAGCCTGTGGTGTCCTCACAGCAAGCGACACCCGTGTAGGCAGATTTGTAGAAATTCATGTACTGTACACCAACAATGTGTACGGAGCACACCTCACAGCGCGTATACGTGTCATCACAATTGAACCGCGAAGTTGACTGCGCGCCGTGTGCAGCTGGTGTCTATCGATGAGAAGCATTCGCGTTGGCTTGGTGATGAGTGCATCATTCTCATTGGCCCTGATGCTTGCCGCTGCTGTGGCAGGTACGTGTTGAGCCACGCTGCCTGCGCGCCACGCAGCGCGCGCCACGCTGCTTGCGCGTTTCCTCCTTGGTGCTCCACCTCTTCCTTGCCATGCGCTCGGCCGCCAACGTGTATATGATCTCCTGCTGCAGAAGGATCCGCCAGGGCATGCGATGTTGTGATCAATCCAATTTGTGGCAGCGACGGGCTCTCCTACATGAACCCCTGCGTCGCCATGCTCGCTGGAGTGCCTGTCTCCAGCCATGGATATTGCACTGGTGAGGCCCCCGCTGGGAAGAGGGGAGTGTGGAGTGTGCGTTGACTTCCCATAGAAAGCGAACCACAGCGCACACCGATGGTGGCTTGCCTAAGGCGTGTATGCCATGGCTCACAAACAGGAGAGCTCCTTCGTTTCTCCTCAGCACATCCAGGCCCAAGCCAAGCTTCTCGTCGCCACGCACTGGGATTAGCCGCTGACCGACAGGCGATCGCGGCCGACGCTGCCAGCTTATTTGCACATGAAGGTTTTAAGCTGGTTGGTCGGGTTGCTCTAGCCCGTCGTGGCGCACAGCTGTCCCTGGAGCGTGCACGCGCAAGCAGCAGCAGCAGCAGCAGCAGCAGCAGCAGCAGCAGCAGCAGCAGCAGTATCGGCAGCACATTCAGCAACGGTAACAGTTTCAGCAGCAACAGCAGCGGCGGCAGTGGCGGCAGCATCGACTTCAGCAGCAGCAGTGGCGGCAGCAGCACTGGCAACACAGCGAGGACCTGGGCAAGCAAGGGTGTCAGTAACAGCAGCGGCCAGGCCGACATTGTGGTTTACCGCGCAACTCCGCCGGGTGACTTTTACATAGCCAGGTATGCTTTGTGCACAGCTTCTAGGCTCGTGCCAGGCCGATGCCCTTCCACCATGCAGACAAGGTCGGGCAATCAGTGTAATGCTCTGCTCATGACAAGTGCAAATGCACAGCCAGTTTGAAATCTTCTCTCTAAAATCGGAGGCCTTCTAATTCAACTTGTTCCCTGCACCATCACAGGTACCCTTACAAGCCGGGACAACGGTGGCAACTGGACCCTGTCGAAGAACCCGACCCCGCCTCCTGCTGCAGCAGCAGTGGCGCATCAGGCGTGGCACCAGCTGGCAAAGACGTTGACTTGGTCGGCTCCACTCTTGAAAATCGTGGCGCCATGGAAGGCACGGGCAATCGCTGTCCTTGTCCTTCCCCGCCAAAATCAACAATCAACACCAGCAGATGTGATGTTGCACGTGCGACGACCTGGTGGCAAGATGAAGGGGGGCTCTCAAACACACGGCGCATGCTGCAGCTCCGCTTGACGAGGGAGCAATGGGGGCGGCGGCGGCGAATGCATGCGCAGGCAGCAATAGTTGGGGCAGACGAGCGCGTGCTGTGCTCCCCGATGCAGTGGCCTTACACAGCAGTAGGTCAGTTGGAGCTGGAGGGGACGGAGGGCGGCAGTGGCAGTGGCAGCCTTTGCAGCGGCGTGCTGATCGGTGAGGACAAGGTGCTGACTGCTGCGCACTGCGTCTGGGACGCTTGGCGGGGCAGCTTCTTCTCATCCCTGGCTTTTGCTGCTGGGCGCTTCAACAGCAGCAAATGCGCAGTAACAAGCCCTTGGGGGGTGGTACCATGGCGCCATGTGACAATTTTCAAGGCGTACGCTGACAGCCTGGCCCCAGACATTGCCGTCGTGCGCTTGGCTATGCCCATCGGCACATACACCGGCTGGGCTGGCATCAAGGCCTCATGCACGGCAGGCGTGGAAGCCGACCATGGCCAATCATCTGTGCTGTCGATGCAAGTGTCGCTTGCAGGCTATCCGGCACCATCAGCACAAGGTAGGACCAGTATCTTCAGTGAGGGATCGTGCGCCATGTCGACATGCACAATTGACACCTTTTGTACTTCCGCTGCGCAAGATGGCGGCCAAACGGTACAGCACACCTGTGATTCAGAAGCCGGACAATCCGGGGCGCCTCTTTTAGACAAGGAACACTATGTGAGATTGGTGCATAGCGCGGGCGGCGTTACAATGACAGCGGCGGGTGCGGCCCAAGACAACTCTGCCACCCTCATCTCCAAGTTCTTGCTTGATAACATACATTCGTGGTGATTAGCATCAGCCCGGCCTCTTCTGTGGTGTACACTGTATTTTTATTGAGGTGTTTGTACCCCGGATTTGTTGCTCTTGCCCAGTAAGACCCGTAAAGGGGATTCCCTTGGCATGTTTGCCGTCGCACATTGCTTCGCTATTGCTTGCTGCTGCCTTCCAGCAAGGAGATCCACCCAGCAGTACGGCCAACAAGCAGTACGGCCAACAAGCAGCCCGCTGATAGCAGCGAGGGGCGCCTGTTGTTGCTCCTCCACCATCAAACAGCACGCCTGGAAACCCCTTCCTTGACCATTTGGCCTTTGCCACCCTCCCCGCGTTTGTCTCTGTTTACCCCTTTCCCCCCCTGTTACCTACCCGGAGATTATGTCAACATGCATGTCTTTGACCCTCAACCCTGACTAGCCTCACCTTCCTCACTTCCCACCACTCGCTGGTTTGTTGATTTATTTGTCAACCGGCAGCCGCCCTTGACCTGTTAACGGTGCAAATGTTACCCCGCAAAGCATTCACAGGTACGGGCTGGAATACCCCACTCGCTTTGCGCACTCCGCTGCTGTTTAGTGAACGCTTGCGCCACGCCCCCAGTAATGAGACGCCCCCGGTGGCCACCGACTGCGGCAAAGGTAGCTGAGGTAATGTTTCGGTTCAGTTGATGTGAAACTGGACTGATGTGAAACTGGACTGATACATGTATTGCTTGCCACTGCCTTATGACAGGGCTACAGCATCGTGTTGTTGAGCTGCAAGATGACCGCTATTTATATCAGGAGGCAGCAGGAGTGCGCACGGCGGCCGCATCGGACCGCAGTGGATCTGTTCTGTGCCGCTGACTTGCACGTGAGAACGCACGAAGGAAGCTCGAAATCTTCATGCCTTCCACTCGGTCGGCTGGCCTGTCGCAGCTCCTCTCATCTCAGGAGAAGCAGCCCACGCCGGCAGCCATTCCGTCACTAGTGCACCTGTGCAGGACAACTAAGTGGGCAAAGCGTCGAAATGTCGAAAATTTTTACCTGAAAATTAATATTTCGCGCCGTGGTGCCTGCTCTACCTTCCCAGGAGGGAACTGCGTACTCCGATGATGCGACCTTGAGCAACCTCCGTCGCGAACTTATCGCGAGAATGAAGCTACATGCAAAGGACATCCTATCTTGGGGAGGCTGGGGTTTGGTGGCACCGCAGCTGCTGTGGCTCCTCCTACTCTTCTGCGTGCTTCTGCCCAACTTAGGTGGGCACGGGGGTGGTGCTAGACGAAGCAGCGGTGCTGTCGGGTGATATTGGCTTTGTAATCCGTATTAGTTGGCTGCACAGGGCTGACACTGGCTCTGCTGCGGCGATTGCGCCACGCTGCGCTGCGCCGCCCTGCGATGCACCTGTGCCCCTGCCCAAAATGTGCAGGTGCTGCCGCGCTCGGTGAGGCCGCAGTTGCCGACATGCCCGTCAGCAACTGCAGCCTGGGGTGTGCAGCAGCCATCCAGGTGGTCTGCGGGGCCGACCGGGTTTCATACATGAATCCCTGCGTGGCCGAGTGCAGCGGCAAGCAGAAGAGATTCACACCAGGGTATTGCCCAGGTGAGTTGCAAGCTTACATGGGTGGCATGAGGGCCACATGCACACGTCTGCAGCAGCGTGGATGTACGCCTGCTGAGGCTCCTTGCTGCTGACTGGGGTTGAGCTGCCGTCCCCCCCTGTTGTTGCTGGGAGTGCATCATGTGCTTGCTACAGCTTGCGGACGTAATCAAGGCCACGATGCACCCCGTTTCTCCTCTCAGCAACATTCCTGCCCATGCATTGTTGGCTCACCTTCTCCGGACGGCCTCCACAGGTGACAGAATGCGCTTCAAGGCAAAAGTGGTGGCTGGAGCTGTTGAGAAGCTGGCCGCCATCGTCAATAAAACGACAATGGCAAAATTTGCAGCCGAGGGGTTCACCTTTGTTGGGCACGCACCTCTGTCTGCAGCGCCAAGGCGCGCCAAGGTGTTGGCTGTCTTCCGAGCTGCCAAGGAGGCGGCCGCCAGCCGTTTTGCTACGGCTGGTCTCCACCAGAGTGGCAGCGGTGCTAGTGCTTTCGACGGCATCGTGTCCTACAGCTCGCCTGTGGGCAGCAACCCGTCCTCCCAGCTGCTCAGGGTGGAGATTATGCGGGGCGATCCCAGTGGCAATGTTTTCTACAAGTCGTGAGCACGTTTGTGTGTGTGTGTGTGGGGGGGGGGGCTGCTGTGGCGCAGTTCTGTGCGGCGCTCATCTACCCGCATGCCTTACCCGCATGCCTTACCCGCATGCAAGATGTTGTTGCGGCTTTGCGCCTATGTATAGCTGCACCTTCCTGAAAACGTCTGTGTTTTGGCGTGTGTCATGTTGTGCTAACATGACGCCCTTGGCGTCCCCACCCTTGGCTTATTGAATTGTGCAGGTATGGGTACAACCCTGATGCCAGGTGAGGGAGCCAGCCTTGCCAACAGTTTCTTCAACCTTTCTATAGGTTGCTGCCAGACACTTGCTTTTTGCTACGAAGGCCCCTTGCAAGCATGTTTTCTTCCATCGTTTAACCACCATCACGCTCCATCCCACATTCTTCGTCTCTGGGCCCTCTGCCCCCTCTCGACCTGGCTCCACTGCAACCCTCCATTTTGCGCAGTCGTGTGTACTCGTACCCACCTCGATTTCCAGCTGGAAGCGGGACACGCCAGAGCCTTGGACCTGTTCCCACGAAGTCTGTCATGGCACAAAGAGCTCCCCCGAAATCGCCTTCACAGGTGGCACAGGGTGCAGTGGCTATCAATGTTGGGCTGTGCGCAGCAGTGGGCGCTAGTCCCTGCTGTACGGCCGCTGCTGAAGTGTTGCCCTCGCCACGCGTTGGACGCAGGGGCTTGGGAAAGTGCAGCAATACCTTCACTGTCTTGACGTGCTTCTACGAGTGCCTAAGCCTGCCCATCCCAACATGCCTGCATTGCAGAGTCTGAAACCGCCGTCTGCACAACCGCAGCCCTCCGTGGCACTCCTCAAGCCGCAACGGCCAGCATCCGGCGCACCCACCCAAGCCTCTGCCGTCCCCAAGCCGGCCTTGGCATCGGCCGTTCCGAAGCCATCCACATCGACAGCCGGGCTTCAGGTCACCGCAGCCATGCCGAGCAGCACCAAGCCGAATGCCCAGCCTGCTGCTCAAGTGCCGGTGCGCCTTGTGGGGCGGCGGCTACGGTTGGCTGCATGGGACTGGATACCTCATCTTTTCAGAGGCGGCGGCGCCGGCAGTGATGGCAACGGTGGCGGCGGCGATGACGGCGGCGGGGGCGCCGCCGGCGGTGCTGGCAGCGGCAGCGGCAGCGGCAGCGGCAGCGGCAGCGGCAGCGGCGGTGGCGGCGGCTACGGCGGTGGCGGCGGCCATAGGGGTGTCGGCAACGATGGCCGCAGTAGCAGCAACATGGGGGCCAGCAGCGTCGGCAGCGATGTCCAGATGGGCATGCAAGGTGGTGGTGGCAGTGTGAGCGGCAGTGTTGGCGGCTCCAAAGGCAGTATTGGTGGCGCTGCTCTACACCGCGCATTGACCGTTATAGGCCGTGATGAACGCGAGGTCTGCCCAGTCAACGTCTACCCTTTCAACGCGCTGGGCCAGCTTGATGCGATGGCGGACGACGGCACGTTCATGTGCAGCGGCGCGCTCATTGGATCAGATTTGCTATTGACTGCAGCTCATTGCGTGTGGGACGACCGACAGGCACATACCTTTTTTGAGAAGCTAGCCTTCCATCCGGCACAATCTAAGAACATGACCACCGGCAAAATCAGCAAGCCGATGGGGCGCGTAGATTGGGAGCACGTCACCACGTTCAAGGCCTACATTGACGACCCTGACCTGCCGCCTGGCCTACAGTACGATGTCGCGCTCATCAAGCTGGTCAAGCCAATTGGAGTCAAGTACGGCTGGCTTGGCATCCGCGCGCAGCCGCCTCGCTGCACAAACGAGGAAGTGCGGATGACGCTTGCGGGCTACCCAGGCGATGATCCCATCTCGACCAGCGACGATGGAAACTTTGGCGGTTGCTTTCAAACTCATTGCCGCGTGAACTTCAAATGCAGCGACCCCATGGCCAACCACTCATGCGACAGCTACATCGGCCAAAGCGGGGCTCCAATGTACGACGACAACTTTTATGTGCGCATGGTGCACACCTTAGGCGTGCTACAGGGCATCACAACCGAGAACAGTGGTCCTAAGATTTCCAAGTACATCCTGGACCAACTGATGATTGAATGGGTGCGCCCCGGCCTTACCAGCCCAGCCGACATCACGCCGTCTACGGGCCGTTCGTCATCCAACGGCCGGGGTTAGTCG